TTCTAAAACCATCTTCATCGGTTATACTATATTTTACAGTTTTTTAACATTATTTAATTAATAAAAATTATTTATTTAATTCATATATAAAATATATAGAAAAGAAATTAATAATGAATGAATAGGTGTGACAACAGAAAGAGGAGAATATCTTTGAAAACGTTTGTTAGATAAGGAATTTAAAAAACGAATTTAGTTTATTTTTTCCTTTTCTCTTTTTATTTATTTTTTTATTCTCAATATACTTTCTTAAAAACCCTCACGGAGGTGCCCTAAGGTTATGGGAAGATAGGCATACATATAAGAAATTGGTTTGGAACTCTTATCAATGTAAAAAGACAAATGTGATGTAACAATCATGAGGAATAATGAAAACAAAAGAGAAAGGAAACAGACAATCAAAAGTCTAGGGAATAGAAATTAAACTCTGGGAATAACAAAGAGGAATCCCAACAGAAGCGGCTTCGAGAGGCAAATCATAATAGTTGTCTATGGGATCGTAGAGAATGAGCCGTTGCTTGTCGTCAGGACATGTATAATTATATTCACGAATATATAACAATACCTTAGTATACCCTTCTCTTGTCGTGGAGGGAACTGCTAGCAGAGAGAGCGCCGGTGTATGCTTCCTAATCCAATAACCTACACTGAGGTTTATGGAACATCTCTCGGCCCATGTGTTGTCGCTTGATTCATAGGACCATATCGTTTGAATGAAATCTTTCTTCTGAGATACGCAGAGGTGGTTATTGATGCTGCACATGGTCACACCTTGGGGATTTTCATGGGCGACAAAGGGAAGAGCTTTAGAGATGACTCGAAAAGTTTCGGTGTGGAGATGGAAAGACAAAACCTTCGTCTCTTCTTCACCGTCGGTGAACCAGTGGAGCGACTCGTCGAAAAACAGAGGCTCCAAAGGGATAATGCGGAGCGGCGCAGAAGGGACGACGTACCTCCAAGCGTTGGTGCTAAAATCGAAAACCTCGCACGTGGTGGCCTTTTCTAGGTCCAGTTCGGAGGAGTTGTACAAGCAAACCGGCTTGAACGTGCCGGGTAGGCTGTCTTTACCGAACCCGAGGTGAGGGAATGGGTTAGCACGGAAAAGGAACTTGTCGGTGAGCTCTTGGATCCTGGAAGGAGGGAAACTGCGACTCCATCTAGTGGTGGGATTGGCTACAAGACCAGGACCTAAGATGTTGTAAAAGAAGACAAGACCGTCACAGCTGGTGCGGGAAACAAAGCTGCACTCGACAGGGATCTTGACCGCGTAGATTCGTGGTCGTCGTCGTGTTGACTCTCGCACTTGTTGTATGTTTAGACCACCACCAACGAGATCACGATCATGAGACGTGTAAAGCAAGAGGAGATCTGGTTCAGGTTCTCCACCATGGATCCTCATGAACTGTTTTTCTTGGAAATCTCTGGATTGGATTGTGGATCTCCACCTCTTCGATACACGCTTGAACGTGAGCAGCAATTTCGCAGGTAGTCTCTCCAGGATAAACTCTACAGTATCGTGGTGTAGCATTTCCATGCTCGAGCAATGTTGTTTTTCTCTCATTTTCTTGTCTCAAAATTGCTATATCATTTTTTTTTTATAAAGAGGAGCAGTCTTACTTATAAAATAAAGTCCAAACTCCAAAGCATGCAAGCCCTCTGAAAAAGAAACAAATCTTAAAATATACAAAATTGTCAACATTTTTCTTTTTCTTTCAAAATTGTCGAAATTTCTTTCTTAAATTTCATAAATTTCTAACACCATAAAATTACAAATAGATTTTAGACATATTAGGTAGATACGGGATAAGATGACCAGACTTCAAATCACACTATCAAATCATTTGTAAGACACCGTATAATTACAGATAGATTTTAGACATATCGAGTAGATACGAGATAAGATGACTAGACTTTAAATCAAATTGTCAAAAAAAATTTCCAAACATTCAAAGCAATGAAATCTTTGAACTGAAGAGAACTGAAAAAGAAAACAACAAAATTGATATTTTAATATTTTCTTACTAATTTTTTTTTTAATAAAAAGGCTTGCACATTTCTAAAATACGTTCTAATTTATACGAATTACAGATAGATTTTAAACATATTTTGCAAATATATAAGATAGGATGACCAAACATTAAAACACATCTTCAAATCAAATTTTCACAACTAAGTCTTTGAAATAGGGATTGGCATAATTCTTGTCCCGTTTCGTCTCGTCCCAGTCTCAAATTCCTGTATCATATGAGAATATGCTCCTATATAATACAACATATTGATTCTCATTTGGGAACAAGACGGTACGGGACGGGAACGAGAATTTTCGAAGTCTCATTTGTCCCAAATTATAAACTAAATACTTTTATATAAATATATAGTTAGATACTTTTAACATATATTACCAAAAGTGATAATTATTATTTATTAATATATCTTATATAAGTGAAAGTTATATTAGTTTTTACTTTTTATTTTACTCTATATGACTATTATACTATATGTGGTTTTGTGTTCACTATTTAATGGATTATGTTGATCTTTTTGAAAAGAATTAAAACTTTTAAATTTTAACAACTAAGTTAAGTTTTCGACGGCAAAAAAAAAAAAAAAAACAACTAAGTTAAGTTTGATTTTACTGATTTTTGGTTAACTTATAATTTTATATGACATGTTATTATTACTTATTAGGATTTAAGAGGTGAATAATGGACAAATATAAATTAAGTTTTAGTTTTCTTTTTACAATTGTCAATTTGTCATGTTTTTAACTTTTTTTTAGAATTTCCATAATGTCCCGTCTCATTCCCGTCTCGTCCCAAATTTTGAATAGAACACATATGAGACAATTATTTTAATTCTCATATTCCCGTCCCGTTTCCATTTCTGCAAAGTTCCGTTATTCCCATTTACCCATCCCTACTTTGAAATAGAGAGGATCGAAAAAAGAAATAATATCTTTTCTTTCTAAATCATCAAAAAAGTTTTTATAAAACTTTCAAATTTCTAAGAAACTCTGTAATTATATGAATTGTAGATAGGATTTACACATATTTGGATAATATATATGGGATAAAATAACCAGACTTTTAAAGTCCATTTTCAAATCAAATTTCTCTTAGCTTTAGGCTTTGATTGGTAACATGTGGTATCTTTGATTTAGTTTGAGTTATGGGTATAACTCAAAAATGTTACCAATCATGCATTATTTTTGTTTTTTTGCATTAGAGTTTGAGTTACAATGTGTAATAGTTGCATTAAAATGTTGAGTTAGGTCTTTGTAAAAATTATAACTCAACTCAAATTCTTAAATCATGGTAATTGTGGTGAGTTACAAGTTGAGTTGGATATTTATTTTGCATTAGTGTAATTTTTTTTTGTTAATAAATCTTTCAAATAATTCTAATTTTTTATAATCTGTTTTATTGATTAAAATCAGCTCGAAAATCTTTTTAATATTACTTATCAAAAATATTTGTAAACATTTGAATTATCCAAAATTAAGATTTATTATATAACTAATTATTGATTTTATTTGGTATTTTAACAATTATTTAAATAATATTATACGGTGGAAGCCCCTTAGTCCAGTAGTCGACTAAAGGTTCACTAATGCTTCTACAGGGTTTCGATTCCCAGAAAATGTGATTTCTGCATTTAATGGAGATATTCAGATAAAGAAAGGACGGACAGTTGGAGTTATTCATGGTAGGCCTCCATATTTATGGTGGATCTTTGTGGAATAGTTAATTTGTCTGTTAAATATTATCCTTGTAATTATTTCCATAATTTGCATTCAGACGATTAAAAAACAAATATTATACACACATATATATATATATATGAATGCTTTTAGCTAATACACAAACAACATTAAAAAGTTTAAGATCTGTTTTTTATTATTATCTAAAATATTTTTTTAGTTTGATGAATTTCAAGTTAGTATTAATTTCTTTATTCAATTTTATTATTATAATTTTTAAAAAATATCAGGTTTAATATTTTTATTTAATTTTATTTTAAATAATACATACTGCAACTTATACATCAGAAAAGATACCAATCATCTATTTTAACAAAAATATTAACTCAATTTTTTACAGCAAACTTACCACATAATTCTACTGTTTTTACCACATAATTTTACTGCGACTTACATCGAATTATAACATCAACTGTAACTCAACTTTAAAAATACAAGTCATCAATCAGAGTCTTAAAATACTTAAACGTTCAAAACAATTAAGTCTTTAAAATAGTGAGAATCGGAAAAAAAGAATGGAAGAAAAGCTGAAATTTCAACATTTTCATATTTTATTTCTAAATTATCAAAAATTCTTCTATAAAACTTGCAAATTTCTAAAACACCTTTTATATATTTTAAAACATATTCAGTGAATATATGAGATATGATGACCTAGCTTTAAAATTGATCTACAAATCAAAATTTCACAACCTTAATTATTCAAAAGTTTAAAGCAATCAAAATTTTAAACTAGAGAAAATCCGAAAAAGGAAAAAAAAAACTGAAATTTCAACATTTTATGTTTTCTTTCTAAATTATCGAATTTTTCTGATAAAACTTGCAAAAAAAAAAACCCTGTAAATTATACGAATAACGGATATACTTTAAACACAGCTGGTAAATATATAGGATAATATGCTCACGTCATAATTTCACAACTTAAAGACTTCAAATGCTCAAAAGAACAAATCTCAAACAAGGAGGCAAAAGAAACGAGGTTTAATGACCATAGTTCTCATTGGAACGATAAAAGAAGCATTGGTTCATATTAAAAGAAGCATTTTCAACTATCTATGGTGGACCAGAATCCTCACTATATAATATATATGCATCACTTGTGCAGAACACTGCAATGGGACGTGTATCTCTTTTTTTTATTCACTATCTTAAGCATATGCACGAGGAGGATTACTCGAGCAAAGAATGTAAAACAAGTTGTGGATTCAATCATACAAATCCAGAGAGAGAGATAGAGAGACTAGGCTATTGCAGACTGTTTATCATAAAGGTCTTCAAGGTGTAACGCTCTAAGGAGCCTTGGCCATGATTCTGGGATCCCACCTGGTAATTCAAACTCCAACAACTTCCCACGCTTCTTGTAGAACTCCTCCACTGGTTGTGTCTGTATAAAAAGAGGACAAACATAATAAAAAACTGTTACTTTTTTTTATGAAAGTTTTCACTTTTCAGCAAGTTCATGATGACAGTGGAAGGAAACATACCATTTTGTTGTAAATCCGGAGTCTTTCCTTGACGACATCTTCAGTGTCATCAGCTCGAGTTACAAGCTTTGATTCACAGTTTGGTGGAGGAAGAAGCGGAGGCATGTACATTCTGGGAGTAGCATCATCACCTTTGATATCAATGCACGCAACATTATAGTTCGCACCACACTCACTGCAGATTCTTCTTCCTAGACATTTCGCGAGCAATGCCTCTTCTCTCAGCTTCAGGTTGATCACTAGATCGATATTAGTTACTCCATCCAGTATTTCCTACAAGACAACCAAAGAAATCTTCCATTACAACATGAGAAGAGAAGGATGATCTACAAAAGTAACACAAAATTGCTCACCGCTTGTGTCACGGTTCTTGGGAATCCATCAAGAATGTATCCAGATTCACCATTGTCTTTGCCAGCTTCGAGACGCTTTGATAACAGGCTTATTATGAATTCATCAGGAACCAATTTGCCATGGTTAACAAGCTCCCTTAGCTACACACCAATGCAGAAACGATTGGTATAATATAATTAAATATGATAATCACTTCACAACAAACGACGATAAGGGTCTTAAAACACATATGTGATGGTTCATGACAAAACTCTGCAGGATCATAGAGTCCATTGAGTGTGATCGCAACATTGGTAAAGGAGAAAGATCATATCTTACAAAAGCAGAGAGAAAACCAAATTCGAATTCAACTTAAACAGAATCGAACAGAAATTAATCCCAAATTGAAAGAAGGAAAAAAAGGAAACCCTAACCTGAGAGGAGAGGAGTCCAGAAGAGGAAAGCTCTTCGCGAACGAGATCACCAGTGGCGATATGAGGAACGCCGAGGAGAGAAGAGAGGCGAGAGGCATACGTCCCTTTACCAACACCAGGGCATCCAAGAAACACCCAGTGGAAATTTCTGCCTTTCGACGGAGACGGAGACGGAGACGAAGACTTCTCCAGCTGAGCCGCGGCTTCCTCGAGATCGATCTCAGGGTCCAGAGAGGGCCCAGAAGAGGAAGAAGAAGAAGAAGATAGAGGCCTAATCAGGAATGAAGAAAGAGTATTCTTCGCCGGCGAGTACAGCCTGAAGAGACGGTGATAAACCGCCATGGAGAAAAGAAGGTGGAGAAGAATGAAATGATTGTTGTGTGTGCATCGTCCACGGTCAAGGGAAGAGAGAGAGGTTTGGTGAAGAAATGTTGCTCTTTTTATTTTTTGTTCCTTCCCTTTTTTCTTTTTTTTTCTTTCTTTTTGGGGTTTGGCTCGTGAGAAATACGTGTCAGCTTGTGACGATGACTTTATAAATTAGAAAATTATTATGAGAAAATATTGAAACCGAACCGTATAAACCGTATATACGGTCGTATTTTAGAACGGGTAATAACGACCCGGTAAAATTGGGTCTTCTCGACCCGTTTGGGATCCAATTCTTAATCGTTCTCGCCAGTTTGCAATCAAACTCGAGTCTCTGAAACACACACACAGTCGATTAAAATAAACCTAAGAAGTTCGATCGGAAAAGCGATCACTTGCCTCCTCCAAAATTTCCCCACGGGGGTTTATCTACCTGAACCCTAATGGATCACCAAGAAGAGGAAATCCACAGCGAGAAACAAGACGACGAGGTTGGATTTCGATTCTCCAGATTACCGAAATTGAAAATAGTGATATCTTCGTTTTTTTTGTTTTCTCTTTCCCAAAACCTTATCTCATTCGAATCATTGTTTCCTTGTTCTGGTTATTTCAGGAAACTCTTGCTCGCCTTGAGGAGATTAAGAAGTCAGTTGAAGCTAAAATGGCTCTTCGTCAAAATAACCTCAATCCTGAACGACCTGGTTGGTTTTTTTTTTCTTTTTTTATTTTTTCTGTTTTTTGGAAAGTTCTATGATGAGACGAGCTTACGTAAGTGGAATCGATAATCTAGGGCTTTCACTATAAGCACACGACTTTAGATACTTATGTTTTAGAATCTCTTAGTTCGAGTTGTTACTGAGACCGAGTCCTCCATTGTTGCAGATACAGCGTATCTTAGGACTCTGGATTCTAGCATCAAGCGCAATACAGCAGTTATCAAGAAGTTAAAGCAGATCAATGAGGAGCAGCGAGAAGGGCTCATGGATGATCTGCGAGGTGTGAACCTTAGCAAATTCGTTAGTGAAGCAGTTACTGCCATTTGTGAGGCCAAACTCAAAAGCTCAGACATACAAGCAGCTGTTCAGGTTATCCCTTGCTCTTTCCTATCTTGTTCTTATGGCTCTATGCTTCTCTTTTAAGTATTTCAGAAAAAGTTCTCTTTTTTACCTTGCTTTCTCTGTAGTTTCAACAGTTTCGTAATTCATTTGACTGCTTGGTATGTGAAATCCCCTTACCCCAGTTTATGGTCTCTGTTGAAAGATTCCTTGTTCGATTTGTAAAGTAGCATAGAACGATGCACCCTGTTTTCTAAATCCTTCTACTGAAGCTGATGTCCATGTTTTCTGACAGATATGCTCACTACTTCATCAGAGGTATAAGGAATTTTCTCCTAGTCTAACACAAGGGCTCTTGAAAGTCTTCCTTCCTGGAAAATCTGCCGACGATTTAGATGCAGACAGAAACACAAAGGCCATGAAAAAGCGCAGTACCCTAAAACTTCTTCTGGAGCTCTACTATGTTGGAGTAATAGAAGACAGTAACATCTTCATCAATATTATTAAGGACCTTACCAGTGCTGAACATCTGAAAGACAGAGATACTACGCAAACAAATTTGACACTTCTTGCCAGTTTTGCTCGGCAAGGAAGAGTTTTTCTTGGGCTTCCTATTTCTGGACAAGACGAAGATGTAAGTAGGTTTCATTATCAGCTGAAGTTTCATTCCCTGTATTCAATGAACTCTTATATGTGCCATCGCCTAGCTCTATTCACATGTATCTTACAAGATATCGTTGGTAGTTTAAGTGGGCATGATTTGTTTGAAGTGCTACTAATTCTACTCCTGCTGTTCATGAGTATTATCCATATTTAACATATTTTCCTGTATAGATTAGAGCTAAATCTGACTAAGGTTTACTCTAGTTTTTTAAGGGTCTGGACGTCACGGCAGAACAGAAAAAGAATTTCAGAAAAGCTTTCAACACATATTATGATGCTCTGGCAGATCTACTTCAGGCTGACCACAAGGTTAGATCCTTATTTGTTTGCACATCTGCAGGAACGATATATCGATATCTTTCTTTCTTGAAACTGAAATATTTTCTCCTTCTCTTCCTTTTTCCATTTTTCCATTTTGCTAGTTTCCCTTTTTCTGTAGTATCTTTGTAATAGTTTTCGTTTGACAGTCACTTCAACAAATGGAGAAAGAAAATGCAAAACTGGTGAATGCTAAAGGGGAGCTTAGTGAAGACAGTGCATCTTCATATGAAAAGCTGAGGAAATCATATGACCATCTCTATCGGAATATCTCATCGTAAGTTGATCATTCCTTTACTCATATGTGTTTTCCTGTTCTCGTTGGGTCTAGCTGTAGTGGAGTTGATTGCAGAAAAGCTTAGATCATATATCATAAGTGTAATCATTCAATTGATGAGTATGTTGGTAGCTTCGTAGCTTTCTTTTCAGTAGCCGTTTACTGAATATTTATTATCCATGCTACTATTGTTGAGCCCTTAATTCTGTCATAATATATTATTGAAATTAATCGCAGTTTGTCGCTGTCATTGTAGTTTAAACATATAGTGTCATTGTTCAGATCTCGGACATACCGATTCACTGGAATCCTATAATATCTATAATGGAAGTTTGGATGTAATCTTAGATTTGTGGTGTATATCCTATCTTCCCACACCTTTTGACTGGAATGGATATCCGGTACAGGAACATTTATAGTTTCAATAATCAGAGGTTATGTTTATTGTTTAGGATAAATATTGGTTGCTAGTTGCTAAAACATTCTCATCTATAACATCTGCATTATTAGTTATATATTATTTATGTCCTCTTGCAGTTTGGCCGAATCACTCGATATGCAGCCTCCTGTTATGCCAGAGGACGGTACAACTAGGCTCACAGCAGGGGAGGAAGCTTCATCCTCTGGTGCTGTAAAAGATACATCTGCCCCCGAACCTATCTGGGACGACGAAGACACCAAGACATTTTATGAGTGCTTGCCTGATCTGAGGTCAGCTCTTATTTATGTTCCTAGGAAACACAGATATGGGAAAATGTGTAGTTTGCAAGTGGCATTCAGAAAGCATTTAGTGTTTTAGAAGAGTCTGGATTATCTAGTTCATTATAGCGTCTACTCTTTTGTTTTAGTTTCCAGTTTTTTTATGTCAGATTCATGGTTTTTCTAGGGCATTTGTTCCAGCAGTCTTGTTGGGAGAAGCAGAGCCTAAATCAAATGAACAATCTGCAAAGGCAAAAGATAAATCACCTGTGAGTGGATGACATACTACATTATATTCTGTTACTCTTAAGATATAAGAACACATTTACTGTTGCTGCTACCTGAGAACCTGTGGGATGTGTTCATTTTTTATAGACTATGAACGGCACTTGGTGGTTAAAAGATTTTGTGCAACATCTTTGGGCATTGTGAAAAACTAACTTGCATCGTTTTGATTTCGTGCTTTGTTGTGATTGATCAAGGAGTCTAGCTCTGAAGTTGTCGAAAGTCAACAAACAACTGAAGACACAACAGAGGTTCCTGCTGATTCTGGTAGTATGGCTGATGGATCAAGTATTGAACAGCCAAAAGAGAAGGAAGAAGTAGATAAGGAAAAGGCTAAGGATGCTAAGAAGGATAAAGGGAAAGAGAAGGATAGTGACAAGAAATTGGAAAATGAGAAGGAGAAAGGTAAGAGCCTTGACGTGGCAAACTTCGAAAGGCTGTTACAACGACTCCCTGGTTGCGTAAGCCGTGATCTTATCGACCAGTTAACGGTAGGAGTCTTTGAAATTGTTTTTTATTTGATGTTGTTTTGGTTGAACGTCTTTTCTGATCCGTTGTTTACTCCTATGGTTTTATTTCCAGGTGGAATATTGTTATTTAAATTCCAAGACAAACAGAAAAAAACTTGTCAAAGCGTTATTTAATGTCCCTAGGACATCTCTGGAGTTGCTAGCATACTATTCACGTATGGTTGCAACACTAGCAACGTGCATGAAGGACATCCCTTCTACGCTTGTGCAGATGTTGGAGGACGAGTTCAATTCTCTAGTCCATAAAAAGGTTAGCCAGATGTGTTGCATTGTTTTAGATAAGTAATTAGTTTTACTTTCAAGACATTTGATTATGACTGCACTTTTATCATTTAAGCAGGAGTGAATTCAATTAACTCTGTTGATGCTAATGCCTCTGTTCTCGACTTGGCTCCCAATATTCCATTATAAACGATGTTTAAATTTGATAATATACTGTCTGATGGAGTTGCAATATAATTTTATGCAGGACCAAATGAATATTGAAACAAAAATCCGGAACATCAGATTTATTGGAGAACTTTGCAAGTTTAAAATTGCACCTTCTGGTCTTGTATTCAGTTGTTTGAAGGTATAATTACTCAAGCTATTAACACGTGCATTCTGTATAGATGTTTATTATTTTGAATTTTCTGAACATATTATGTTACGTATTTCAATTATATATATTAGGTAACTTATGGGGACGGGGGATTCTATCAACCCTGGCGAAATTCGAGCCATCCAACTCTATAAAATGTTCACTTCCCAATTTTTTTTTTTCAGGCTTGCTTAGATGAATTCACTCATCATAACATTGATGTTGCTTGCAATCTTCTGGAGACATGTGGCCGTTTCCTTTATCGATCTCCCGAAACCACACTTAGAATGACTAATATGCTGGACATATTGATGCGCCTGAAAAATGTCAAGAACTTAGATCCTCGTCAAAGCACTCTTGTGGAAAATGCCTACTACCTTTGTAAACCACCTGAAAGATCAGCGCGGGTTTCTAAAGTTCGTCCACCATTGCATCAGGTACTTTCTAATCTCAAACCACAGTGTTCTTTATGTTTTGAACAATATTTCGCTATTCAATTGTATCGTCGACTTTGGTTTTTCTTATACTTTTGTTCAACTTTCTGCAGTATATCCGCAAACTGCTATTCTCAGATCTTGATAAAGATTCCATTACGAATGTACTGAAGCAACTTCGGAAGCTGCCATGGAGTGAATGTGAGCAATACATCTTAAAGTGCTTTATGAAGGTTCACAGGGGAAAGTACGGTCAGATTCACTTAATTGCTTCCCTGACTTCTGGTTTGAGCCGCCATCATGATGAGTTTGCGGTGGCTGTTGTTGATGAGGTATGTTCCTTCCACTGTATCTAATAGATTAATACCTATGGATTTCCATTTTGTGTTGTCTGGATCTCTAGATCATGTTAAGTTCTTAAGTAACGTGATACATCGTTTTCACTTGAAGGTACTGGAGGAGATAAGGGTTGGGCTTGAGTTGAATGAATATGGGGCACAACAGAAGCGGCTGGCCCATTTGAGATTTTTAGGGGAGCTGTACAACTACGAGCACGTAGATTCATCTGTGATATTCGAGACGCTTTATTTAACTCTGTCATATGGTCATGATACGTCAGAGGTAAGTTAGCCTCAGATTGGTTCAGAGTTCAACCCTTTATCAAATTCTAAATGCTCGTCTTATGTGTGGTCTGCCATTTGAAAATGTTATCATTAGTGTCTCTTCTCGTGCTTACTTTCCTTAAAATATTCGTCACGTTATTTTAATTTGGTATGCAGGCGTATCATGTTTTATATTATTGTAGTATCTAGGATCATTGTTTTACATTTAATTTTCAGTCGTCCTTTTCTTTCACTGATTGACTGTTGTTTATACTTTTAGCAAGAGGTGCTGGATCCGCCAGAAGATTTTTTCCGTGTCAGGATGGTTATCATTCTTCTGGAAACCTGTGGGCACTACTTTGATCGAGGTTCTTCTAAGAAAAGACTTGATCAGTTTTTGATACATTTCCAGAGATACATACTGAGCAAGGGTCATCTTCCCCTGGATATTGAATTTGACTTGCAGGTTAGTTTTTATGATTTTTGTATATTTTCATAGGGGAGTTGAGATTAGAAATTTTGTAGAAGTTGATCCAATTTTCACTTAAGGGTTCAGGGTACGTGTAACAAACTTAATGTGTCTTAACTTCTGTCTCAACGCAGGATCTATTTGCCAATTTGAGACCCAATATGACCCGATATGCGAGTATTGATGAGGTCAATGCAGCTATACTGCAGCTGGAAGAGCGTGAACATGCTTCTACAACAGACAAAGTCAGCGTAGAGAGACATTCAGATACGAAGCGTCCAGGCAGGTCTTCTTCCAGTGTTGTCTCTTCTAACGGGAAAAATACTGCAAAAGAGATTGGAGAGAATGGTGAAGCTCACAAAGAAGAAAGCGACAGTGATTCTGGTAGTGGCTCCGTGGTCCGAGATGGACAGAACGAAGAGTTGGATGATGGAAATCACGAGCGGGGATCTGAGAGTGACGATGGGGATGACTATGTTGATGGCGTTGGACCTGGATCTGATGATGATGGTGAATTTCGTGTGAGACAGAAGGTGGTAACCGTAGATCCTGAGGAACAAGCGGACTTTGATCAAGAACTGAAGGCTTTACTTCAGGCAAGTTCAGATTTGGTCTTTTTTTTGTTTTCGTAGATTGATGCATTTATTTGAAATTGAAAGCTCAAGGCATTTGAATCTTAACATGAAACATGGTTTAAATGTTATTGTGGGTGCAGGAGAGCATAGAGCAAAGGAAGCTAGAATTACGTGGTAGACCGGCATTGAACATGACAATACCGATGAGTGTTTTTGAAGGATCTGGAAAAGATCACCATCACTTTGGGCGAGTTATAGGCGAAAACGGCGAGGAGGTGTTGGACGAAGAGAATGGGGAGCGAAGAGAAGTCCAAGTGAAGGTCCTAGTGAAGAGAGGAAACAAACAACAAACAAAGCAAATGCTAATCCCGAGTGATTGTTTGCTGGTGCAGAGCACAAAACAGAAAGAAGCTGCGGAGTTGGAAGAGAAGCAAGACATAAAGAGGTTAGTACTCGAGTACAATGAGAGAGACGAAGAGGAAGCTAATGGGTTAGGGACACAGACATTGAACTGGACATCTGGAGGAAGCAGAGGAACCAGTCGTAGTTACACAGGTGACGGAAGTGGAAAGAGCGGTGGATCCCGTCACCGGTTTGTCTATCACCAAGGAGGTGGTGGTTCGTATCATACCCGGAGAAAGTAAGTAAGGATTTTTCCGGTATCAAAAGTTGGCTTCTCTATATAAGCCCAGACGAATGTTCCAGGACAGTGTGCATCAACTAAAAAAAATCTTGCATTGTGTAACTGTTTAGATGCAAATATAACAATCCTTGTCATGGAAAAAGAAAGTACCAACAGAAAAAAGAAAAGAGGATGAGTGGGAAATTTTCTCTTTTAAGATTTTAGTCTTACCATATACGGAAAGGCCAGATTTAGAGCAGAGGACAGATAAAAAAAAAAGATTCCATTAATAACCCAATCTAGTTGTCTTTTTAGCAACCATGGAGAAAATGAACGTGACCATATAAACATGTACTGTACTTGGTGATTGCTGAATGTTTCATATATGTCACAAACGAATGACAAAAGTCCCACTCTCTCTCTCACTCTTCATTAAGGTTTTTTTCTCTCTCTCTCTCTCTCTCACTTCCACACATAAAAGTGGTAGTTGGCTTTATAGGACCGACGCTTTGCCCCCCCCTAACACGTTCCATTGCACTCTCTATTATTGTATTCATTGACAAATCTATCTATTTTCCTTTTTTGTATGGTTTATTTGTGGTGTAGAAAAATAGAATACCGATATGGTCCACTATATATAAAAATCTTCCTCAGATTGCATTTATGTTTTGGTGCCCACTCGTGATAAAATTTTCAAAAATGTGATAATAATATTAGTTACACAAATAAATTAATGAAAGCACCCAAATTAATAATTGAAGATGATTCATGAAAAGAAGCCAAAAGAAGAAAAAGAAATGCCAAGTGTAGACAATCGCACTCAACACTTCTTCTCCCCTTTTTTTCCCTTACCTCTTTTCTTTTAATTAGTCTCTATCTCTCCTTCTCTCTCTAACTTCTACTCGCCGGAATAATCACACAAACGACGCCGCTTCACGCTTTCCAAGGATCAAATAGACTCATGTTGGATCTCAACCTCGGAATCTTGTCGACACATAACGATGATGAAGATTGCAAAGTACCAATATCCATGTTCAGTGAAGAAGAAGATACCATTAGTTTCTCAAACAATAACTCGGAGGGTTTCATTACCTTCGGAATCCTTAAAAGAGAAGAAGACGAAAAACTCCCCCTTCCTCCTCCTCCTCCTCCGCAGAGTGAGATATTCTCCGGCGGAAGTGAGTGGTTGAATCTGTCGTCGTCGATGCAAAGAAATGAACAAGAAATGGTAATGGTCAAGAAGAAGAGCCGACGTGGCCCACGATCAAGAAGCTCCCATTACCGTGGCGTCACCTTCTACCGTCGAACCGGCCGTTGGGAATCTCATATTTGGTATGTTCACTTATATATTATTTTAAATTAAATTTAATAATAAACGTGTTACGAGGTTCCAACTGCCAACTCAAAACCAGTTACTGAATTAGTTCATAATTTTTATATATGTTATTACAAGTTTGTTCTAATTAACACTTAACATACTAATGGTTTTGGGATTTATGTGTAGGGATTGTGGAAAACAAGTTTACTTGGGTAAGTAGATGATAGATGTTATAGTTATTTTCTTGTTATAGTTTATGTTAATGTTAAACGCCATTTTTTAGATATAAATAAAGAAGAAGAAAAATCAGATGTTGGAAGATTTTTCAGTTTTGTCTTTTAATCTCTTTTGTTTTTGCTTTAAACAGGTGGTTTCGACACAGCCTACACAGCTGCAAGGTGTAACAAATTATAACACATACTATTATACAAGGCTTTTGATTTATGGATGTACTATTGTCCTTTCAAAAATTATTACTTCTGTATTCTTCTTTTTTTTTTTTTTTTATCTTTAGAGATATATTAGCTGACTTATTCAAATATATCAGAGCATACGACCGAGCTGCTATCAAATTCCGGGGAATTCACGCAGATATCAACTTTATCGTGAATGATTACAAACAGGATATTGAAAAGGTTTGTTCATATAACCTATTGTTTCAAATATTTTAGCTTACCTAATTAACTAGGAAAACGTATATAAACTATGGATGTTTTCAATGATATAATATGATATTAATAGATGAAGAATTTAAGCAAAGAAGATTTTGTGCAAACTCTTAGACGAGAGAGTGCAAGTTTAGCAAGAGGAGGTTCCAAATACAAAGACTTAACTCTTCAGAAACACACCCATATTAGAAATGGTCACACTCATCTCTTCCAAAACAGGTTCGATTACTATGTAATTGCATTTTTTATCCTAGTTAAATAACTATTAATAATGGAAATTAAGTTTGATTCTTGTCGTGGGTACAAATCGTTTCACCATCTATGTTTTATGGCATGTTACGATTCTCATTTATAATAGTAAGATTAATTTTTAAGTGGTTGAATGAATTTTCATAGGGAATGGAATGCAGAAGCAACAAAATGCAATGAGATGAGAAAGATAGAAGGAGATATTAAGTTAGCTGTCCACAATAAAAGTAAGTGATACAAGTGGAGTAACTAATTTTAATGCCATTTTAAGCGAAGCCAAAAACCCTAACCACAATTTGACTTTGATGCATGAGACACCTTTAATTTTGATCAACCAAACCCTAGCTAGACTTATCTTACCCAAAATGTTAAGTTATATATCTAGATTATGTTTACTTTGAAAACTATTATATTCTTTAACCAAAATCGAACTGAAATCTGAAATGAAGATCTTTAGCTAGATATAATTAATCTGATAATATAGTTTTCTGTTATCTCATTGAGATTAGCTGTTGCACATTAATCAACCTGATTAACAAAAAAAAATTTGTTTCAGGAAATGAGCACAACGATCTTGAGCTAAGTCTCGGAATTTCTTCATCGTCGGAACGTTTAAAATTGAAAACCGATGATAATTATTACATGGGAAGTGATCGATCTGTGACGAGTTTGTATGGGAAGCCGTTGCCGGTATATCTACCGATGACAGAAATGAAACCATTAAAAACAGTTGCAGCATCATCAGGATTCCCTTTCATTGCCATGATTGATTCCTCTTCTCTGTCCACTTGCTTTGATCCATGAGGTCACACTATATACTTGACGTTTGTTTCGTTCAAACAATAGATTATGAAATTCTAATACTTTTTATATAAAATATATAATCATGCGGAATCACGAGTTATAACTTTTTTTTGGTCTGCCACATGTATACTCGTCGTAATATGCATTTACGTGTTTTTTTTGTGACATTATTTAAAAATAATAAAATCGTCATATGTGTTTGTCAACGATGATAATTATTAATTTCTATGTGTGAAAATTATACTGTAAACACTCAAAACCATTATATATATAGTTCTAGTTACTTTTAAAAAGAAAAATATTCGCATCTAAATAGTATAGTAGTGTAGTGACTAGTGAGTGAGTTTATCGTTGACAATGAAAGGGAAAACAAGATAGTACTTAGCCGATAACATAAGACACGTGCATTATTGAAGCCAAAAAGTTTGCCAAAAAAGTATTGGCGAAGAAATAAAAAAAGAGAGTATCGAATGATAGGAGATGAGTGGGACACGTCGATGTAATTAAAGTACAATATCGTATTGTCGTATGATTTCCTCCATCTTCACCACATTCACTCATTTCTTATCCTCACTTTTCCAATTTTAAAACCCTATTTATTTTGTTTCTCAATATAAAATACATAAACCAGACAATATATGTCCCTATGTGTGACTGAAGTGGTTGGAAATAATCAAGTTTTGAGAGATCCTATTCAGTAAAACAGGAGATATATAGAGAGAAATTTACTGTTTCAATTGAAATTTTATACCAAAATAACCCAAAAGAGGGGAAGAGGAAGAGGTAAAAGGACAAAAAAATAGAGGGGAAGAGACAGAGAATCTAGAGAGTAGATATTTTTGTGTTGATAAGATAGTAATTATTTACTGGACTGTCACTGTAAATAAAAAAACCTGAACTGTCACTGTTAAAATTGGCAAGAGCTGTATGTTGTAGGTTGTTGCTTCTGACACAAAACTATTGCTGCTAACACTTTTCAATCTTTAGATTACATACGAGGAGGAGGAGGAAGGTATGCCAGTTTGTGTGTTACATTAATTACATATCATTACTTAGAACAAATAACTACAAAATATTACAAGGCGAGACTCTGCTTCGTCAGCTCCATTTTGGTGAGAAGCCCTCTCATCTCTTCCTCCATTCTCATCTTCATTTCATAAAACTCTCTCTGCCCTCTCTCAATTGCCTCCAACTCCTCGAGCGTTCTTCTCCTTCTCTCCTCTGCCTCCTCCACACTCAGCTTCCCCATCTTCCTCTTGTACTCTTCTTCTACCTTCTCCTTCTTCGCTATCGCTATTCGTTTCAGCCCCTCTGCTTCTCTTCTTGCTTCATCTGCCCGCCCTTGGAACATCTCCGCCTCTGCTTGCTTCATTCTCACGATGCTCTCTAGTTCTTCGAAACGAGGTTTCTTTGCAGATTCCCTTTTCATCATACCCGTCTCCACACCACACATTTCACTTTGGAACGCACCAACTACGCTTGCTGGCCTTTTCAGCTCATGGTGCGGTTTATCTGAGCACACCGATCTCAGCCACGCCATGTCCTGACTAGGGCTTCCCTTCTCATGCCTGGGCTTTGGCTGTTCGTATCTGAACGGTGCACAGGTTTCACCAGGAGTGGAGGAGGAATCACAATCTGCCATCACCAAACAGAGTAGTTAGTTAAGCAGTGATGATTAGCAATCAGTGACCATTTTAACCAATATGTGTTCACATGCACACTATAATTAGCAATGACTGACCAATTTAAACAAAAATGCGCACCTGAAATGAAACCCAATATCCGATTGCAAGCTTCAGGAAGGTCTATCGATTGACATTTCAAACTTGCAAGCATCGCATCAGCAGCTTGTCTCAGCTGTTTCCCTCTAAAGTCTTTGCCTGATGAAAATATCTTACTGACATACTCCAGTTCCTTGCAAAACCGCTCAAATTTCCACTCTCTGGCGAAATTCAGAAATACTTCTTTGACAAAGCCAAACATCTCCGAGGGATGGTTACAGGCGACACAGTGGAATTGCATCTCAGTCATTCCTGGAGCACCAGAAGCATTGATCCCATTCCGGATGTAAGATTCTCGTATCCCACAATCTGTGTGGCACCAGTGAAGACACACATCACAACCAACCCAGCTACATGTGTTGGATGCCATATCAAAATCTGAGCACACAAGACACATGCAGGCACTACAAAAACCATCCTTCCTTGAACAAATCCTGCAATCGCATTCATCCACAGGCACCAGATTCCTACAAGAAAGATTTTTGCATCTCATGTTCATGTAGATCTCAGCTAAATGGGCCAAAGAGATGCTGTTGTCCAGCTGAAGGAAATCAGAACGTCCAGATTTCAGTGCGACCAAGATCTCCAACTGAGCACGATGAGATTTAGTGAGCAATTCCAGTGTGATATCAGTCCTGCTCTGCAGAGCGTTTTGAAAGGCACTAAGTTGTACATTCCTATCCCTATTCAGCATTATCTGCCGGATGTTTTCCTTCAGGCTAGTTATGTATCTAGTGGGCATCTCATGAAATCTCTTGGTCATCACATCCATAGAATCGGAGAGAATGTATCTTATGACCGTCTCAACAAAATCATCCCCACCAGCTTCCAGGTCACTTATCCAGGACATGTTACCACCAAAAAAGTCCTTGGCTTTTTTCTTGGAATCATTTTCAAGAGAGACCGTTCTCGGACATGCTGATCTAACATCAACACGCTTCTGGAAACTCAACTGTTTCTCAAGTCTAAAATGCTCTTCATCAGCTTGACCCGGAATTACAACGCCTTTCATTGCTGAACCATTCCCATTTTCCATCAGTCTTTCATAGACTGTATTCTCATTGTACCTTGAATCGTTATGAGACAGTGCCTGCCAGTCTATACCCTGAAATATAGGTCGGCTATGAACTGATTGCTCATTATCTCCAGTATTGTGATTCAACGAACAGCTCGGATTATGATTAAACGAACGAGAACCCGAAAAGGACATAGACATAGTGAAGCCCTCGGAATCGGTACAAAACGTGTCTGTCAAAGAGCGAACACTTTCAGAACGAGCCGGTAAACACAGAGGCTGACTACTGTCCTGGCCACGGATCGGCAGCAATACATCTGGTAAGCTTAGTGAAAGATCCAGTGACTCCAATAACAACTTCTCATCCTTTGGCTTATTGACACCTGACTGTTCAGTTTTATTTGTTTTTCTAACCGGAGACCTAGAAAACAGTTCAAAGCCTCTAATACTTGGTCCCCCGTAGTTGTCATCTTCATCTTTATCCCTGTCCGTAAGATCCTCAGACTTTTGTTCAGAAAAGACAGCATTTAACTGAGTAAGTGGGACATCCAAATTTTTCCCTTTATCCTCGCATTTGTGGATCGAGCTATCTGATACAATGCTAATGTATTTTGCAGGCGATCTATTTCCTAGAGCATCTTCCTCAACACATTTCGGGGCTTCAACTTCTGCTTTGTTGGCATCACCACCACTACCCTTCACTCGTTTAACCTCTTCTGCCTTAAACCGTTCAGGAACAGCTGGATAAAGACTTTCTTCCAACTTTATTTCATGGCTCTCCTTGTAGTCCTCTTCTGTGTCACCTCTATCATCGATTATATCTGTAATCTGATTGACAACATCAGTGTTTCTGTCATGTATAAGCTCGTGTTCACTAGCCAAAGCTGTAGAAATATCATTCACTTTGTTTTGAGGAGTACGCACGCTCTCAATCGCATGCTCAGGCAGATTTTCTCCTTTCTCAACACTTTTCCTATCCATCATACTCTCAGCCGTTTTCATTTCCCTATCAACACCCACATGACTGGCTTCCCGGTTACTTTCAGTTTCGGATTTTCTTACGTTATCATCAAACTCAGCATTTTTTCTACTCTTCTGGAAACTAGTGTCGATCCTTTCCTTCGTAAGACCATCAGCATCGCAAGAAGGCACTTCATCGTCGTTTGTGGTGTGAGCAGCCCCAGATGCGGGCTCTAGTTGGGGCTCTGGCTCCAGTTCTCCTTCCTCCATCTCGCTACTGCTTCTACTGCTTTTACCCTGGACTTCGTCCTCGCTTTTCTTCACAACATTTCCAACACTCTTAGATTGCTCACTCCCGGAATCTTTGGACCAAGTTGGAGAAGCTAGAGATTTAGATCTGGAGCGGGAATTTCTTGATCTGGAGCGGGAATTTCTGGAATCCAATTTCAGTTTTGAGTGCTCGTTACCTGAGTCTCTGGACCAAGAAGGGGATCTGACACTCCTTTCCCTCTCACCATCCCTTAATCTCAAACCACCAAACCTCCTCCATGAAGAAACGCTATCTTCCCTTTTGGGCCTCTCTCTCTCGGAACGGAATCCTTTTGGAAAAGCCCTCCTTGAGAAACAAGCGCTCTCAGATCGATGGAGCCTGTCCTCTCTGTACCGGATATCCGGCTCTTTCCTTCGATTATTATCAAAGTCACGCCTACGGGACAAAGCCCTATCCGGCTCTTTCCTTCGATTACTATCAAAGTCACGATCGGATCGCCTACGGGACAAAGTCCTCGAGAAGCCGGCATCGTCCCCAGACACAAACGGCTGCCGGTCACGGTCGTATCTAGAAAGGGATACGGGTCCCCTGCGACCCGACACGGTCTTATCTCCATTTTGTATTCCGGCTTCAAATGCAGAAGTCCGACTCACCAAACTCTGTTCTGTTACCAGGCTGTGCAAAGAAACCTGAACATGACATAGTCAAATAATAATAGAGGAAGAAAGGGGTATAAGAGAAGACAGTGTCGTCCCTAAATACCTACCTCAGATGAAATGCTCGAGGCGCCCTTTGGAGGGGCCTTTGCGTGAAAAGATACAAGCTTTCCCCCATATCCAAAAGATGCACCAACCGGGCGCTTATACCATTTTGGTGCTTTTAAAGGACCTGCAAAAAGAAGCTTATTAGAACTGATGTTGGTTCTGGTGCTATTCCATTTTCCAAGATAGGAATGACAACAGCAAGAAATGAACGGTACACAAATTGATCAGAATGGGCAAAATGACATTACCAGTGCCAAAAGTATTCTCTTCAGCACCATGGCGAATGCAACTCTGCAACAAAAGCGTTGAATACATAATATTTTAATACATTCTCGGTGGGGAAAAGGGAGACTTAACGTTTCCAACAAGTCTTGCTAGGAAGGTAATTTTTAAATGGAAAGTGCGTAAGATTAAACCCTAAAGCATTTGATATCCATTAGAGCAACAAAATGGGAAATCGAAATCTAAATAAATTATGGCAAGGAAAAACAGTCGATAAGGCTCGATCCGCAGTTTCGTTTTTTAGTTATATACCTCGTTGATTTTTCATCTAGAAAAGAACAATTAACAAATACTGAAGGGCAAACTACTTATAGATACCTCGATGTTGTAGATGGCAATTTTCCCATCAAATGAGGATGCTGCTATAACTCCAGGTATCTTTGGGTACCAATGAACATCAAAATTCCTATTGTTACCAGCAGGCAACTCAGCCACAATCTGATACAGATGGATCAAGTTCAATCAAAATGAAGATTAGCTAACTAATTAGCGGATGAAAGCTAGCAATTCTGCATTTTTCATCAGTTCCTTCTCCCTACCTCTGCTGTATTAGTGTCCCAGCAAATAGTTCGGTTGTCCTTGGCACAGGTAAGAAGATATGTGCTGTCACTTGGACACCATTCCATTGCAATCACACCTGTAAGATAAGAAGTATTACCATTACATTTCACCAAGATGTTAAAAATGAAGACGACAGGACTATGAGATTATGGCACCACAAAATGACTAGTTTAAACACTACGATAGCTGATCTACAAGGATTCTCATTTATCAATAGTAAAGAATGATACCGAGATATATAGAAACACTGGAAAAGGCATTTTTATAGCAATGATTTGAAAAAAAAATACCTCTTTGGTGTCCAGTAAACTCGCGCACAGGTGACATTGTATTCCTCATGTCCCAGAGCTGATTGTGGATACATTAGATTACTAAAGGAACCAAATTTTAACTATATGAAGCAAGGTATGAAATGATTTCTCACCTTTAGAGTAGGTGAACTGTCGTCATCTGATGCAACCATTATCTGAGTAGCAATGTCAGGGTTCCATTGTACAACAGAGCACCGGCGTCGAACTGAGTCTGCAAAGCTGTTAATTGATGATGGCCAGGTCAGGGCTTCGATAACAAGAATAGAACGCCTCACTTATATCACTTTAAAACTGAATACTTACTTAATTATAGGTTTCTGCTTCCTCAAGTCCCATATTACTGAGGAAAAACAAAATAACAACGATGAGCAGAAGCAGAATTAGAGCTGACAGAAATGAACCACTAATCAACCATAGAGAGAAAGAGAGAGAGAGAAAAAAAACCCTAAATCTCACCAGTAGTCCCATTGTATGAGGTAGATGCAAATATCTGTTGAACTTTTCTATTCCACGATACAAAGGAGATTTCACCTTGCGTAGCAGAACCACTACCCTGCATAAGACCCTCATAAAGTTTTAATATGCTCCAGGATTCAACAAATTCGGTTTCTTTTTTTCCATGCATTTACGACAGTAAACCAAGGTCCTTTACTTGTAAGAAGCGGTGGGTTACCTTGAGAAGTGGAAAATGAGAAGGCTCTGAAGGCTTTGCTAAATCCCAAATGCAAATTTCACCATCATCAGCCCCAGAAGCAAGTAGATTCGAGGTGATAGCATTAAACTCAAGACCACGAACCTGAAAGACAAAGGAAATGTAAGAACGCACACATCAAATGAAGGAGTGCTATAACAAAACAGAGATTAGCAAGAGAATTTTGCAACAACTCACGGGCCCTTTGTGAACTGAAAGATTTCCAACGAGTGCGTTCTCACTGGACTGAGAACTGAAAAAAAAAAGGTGAGAGCTGTTCAAGTTAGACTTGTACAGATGAAAATTCGACACCAAAAAATAAAACCTTTACTGGATTCAACATCATAGCTTGGTGAAATTCGAATGGAAATTGAACAAAGGGTTCATAAAATTAGCAGATGACAGGAAAACGCACCCGATCAAAGAAAGCGGATTCCAAAGATGTATATTTCCATCGACAAGGCCGCCTGCAATGAGACCGAGGGAGAAATCCTCGGATCCGGATCCATTTCTTCCCCATGCTAGTCTATTGAAGCGCTCGGAGCTTGGGATTTTCCCAGCCAGTGTCAAGTCGCGATCGTCAGAGTGAAAGTCGAGCTTGAAAATCTCCAGATTGGCGGAAGAACTATAGGACAGATCCACGGCCCCGGCCATGGTTCCGGCGGCCATGTAAGGAGCGTCGGGCGCCAGCGCGACGGAGGCGGATCTGCCCACCCCCTTTATGCAAGCCATGTTAGAGGAGAAGGGGAAAAATCAATCGGGGAGGAAGAAGATGGAGGGGATTAGGTTTGTAATGTAAATTTGGGACCTGAAGAAGGAGTTACCGTAATAAAACAAAATGGATTAACTGAAATGAATTTTCGACAAGTTACTGTCTGTACAAATGAGAAGGTATTTTCACTGTTATTTTACTAATTGTTTTTAATAATCTAATTGAGTACATATTTAATTTTTGATATTTCCTTATATTGGAGATAATTACACTTTTAATCAACTATTTATTGAGTTAATTACAGTAGAAGGCACTTTATATCTTTTCAATTACACCTAAAAGCATTTATGAAGAAGGTGTACTTTGCCCATATTAAAAGACCAAATAATCTTCTAAATTTATTCTTTTTCACAAAAAAACCGAAACGATTCTTTAACTCCATCATCTTCCCCCATCGTCTCCTTTTCCGTTATATCAGTCGGCACCTATTATCACCACAACCAATCCTATTAACACTTCCGAAGAAATTTCCAATCAGATCAACGATTCATATCCTATTCTTGCCTTCACCACCCGCCAAATTGTCTCCCCCACTCTTTCACCGATTCATATCATCTTCTCATTACCCATATTGCTCTCTCCCTTTAACTCGATTTCAATATATATACCACCTTTTCTGAGAAGTTATTCCTCGATTTGAAGAAAGATAAACTTTCATGTTATGAATTGATGGATTATATAATGTGGACAGTTACTCATGGTCATGTGATTGTGGACAAAATTTCGATTCGTGGGTAGAGAAAGTCAAGAATCCATCCATGAGTGTTTGTATCGCAGGTTTCGATATAGTTTGTATCGAAGATATTGTATTTATATGTTGTGTCCACAAGAATCTGTCCATGAGTATTTGTCCATCACAATATGTCCATAAAATTTGTCCGTGAGTGTTTGTCCATCACAATGTGTTATAAGATCTCCACCGTCGAGAGAAGCTGAACTATCTTGAATTTGGGAAAAACCACGATGGTCCAACCTAATGCGACAAAGTCCGCCAAATATGTGGCACACTGGAATTGTGTAGATCGTTTGTTTCTCTAATTCGAACCGGGCTGGTATGCTTGTACCAAGGCAATGAGGTTGCAGTGACTCACCATTACCCCCTTGCTCGTCTTTGTCATACCCAATGAATACAGCAGAGTCGCCGTGTTGTCGATTAGGTGCTTGATTTAATGTTTGCCATAACTGAGTGAAATTGGAGAAAACGAAAGATTAAAGTTGGATTTATGCTTGAGATTTGAGAGGAAAAGAATGATTTAGAGAAGTGGAGAAATGAAAGAGAAAGCATAAATCGGGTTGAGAAAAAAAATCCTACAATTGTCGACGACCTCTTCGCTAGGGCAATAGAACTTTATCTCTAACTTACCCAAAATTATCCATACTTTATTAAGGATAATTATGGATTTTCAAGTTGTAAAATGAGAAAGAAATCAATGCAAAGTCCTCTAGTAGCTGAAAGTACCTATTAATATAAATTAAAACTCATAAGTATCTTTAAATGTAAATCACTCCTATTTATTGAATATATTAATATATATATTATACTCTATAATATTTTGGTGATATCAAAGTGCAGTAAAAATCAACCGGGAAAGCACGTGGTACTTCAATTGGCGTGGTCTAGTAATACAAGAAAATACATTCTCTATCGCAAGCAAAATGACCCCAAGAATTATGCAGTTCAGTCGCAAAAGAGATGGTTGATCTGAATTTTATCATACATGTGCCTTGTTGTTACAAGCTTGACAGTTGGCTAGCTGATAGTGATAACTTATATTGGATCAAAGTTTTAGATTGCTCAAGAGCTTCTAGTTCATATTGTTTGGTTATGGGGCTGATAAAGTAGATGATGTGAAAGAACATAATTTTTAGGAGATTGGTCTCAGCACTGCTTGTTGCCATTCTTTTAAGTTGTGATAGTAAAAGTAATTCAGAGTAAGACACAAAACACTGATTTGTTTTGTCTATAAGATAACATTTTACAAGTTTATCAAAAACTATTAGTCATCTAATGTTCTAATGAAAAATAAGCATTGTATTTTACTACAAAGAAGCATACTATCTACACATCAATAATTAAAGTAGAAGGGAGACTTTGAGACCACTTCAACGATGAATTCAAGAGCGCATAAGTTTTAGTAACAATTTGACAAATTCTTCCATTAACACTTTGAGTACCAGATAAGTACATGATTGACTTTAAAATTTTGAAAAATTAAATTAAAAATAAAGAAAATATTAAAAATAGATATATATTTAAAAATAAGAATAAATATTGAAATTTTAAAAATTTAGAAACTTTTTTTATTACAAATAAAATAAAATTGATGGCTTACTTATAATAGTGATAAAGAAATTAAAAAAAAATTAAGAGTTCAAAAGCAATGTTTCATTGAGTTTTGTCTAAGATCGGCTTTTTTATTGTTTATGATCTGTCGGATTTTTTGCTGACTTTGAAAAATTAGATCTTGTTTTGATCTCCCATTACTTGGTCGATTGATGTTTGATCGATGGATGTTTTATATACTGATCTAGCGGATGATAAAATTATAGAAAAAAAAATAATAATATCATATTAGCTTGAAAAAACAGTAATATTGCTAAATGCTAACCAAATGAATGACAACAAATAAAAATACCTGATGCAATCCATATTGAGTATGATTGTGACCGAAAAAGCTTGTACAACAAACACAACACCATAGTCTTCAAGAAACAGATCAAACACAGTAGCAAACAAGTTTATCAGAATAAGTTTCCCTCCACAAGCGTATGTATCTCCAACACATGACAGGTTGCAAAAGAAGCCCACTACTAAAAGTAATGCAAGAAGACTCTTCTTATTCCTCCAAAGCTTCATGATAATGTCTACCAAATAAAGATTACAAGATTCAATAGTATCCATTTAATAACCCAAAATATGGAAAATGACATCCAAAAAAGTGTAAATTATTGTGTTGATTAAGTAGTAAATAACTAAATAACAAGGTTTAACAAATGATTCCTATACTCAGAATAAGTTACTTTGGATTCTTGTTGCTTGCTGAAAATACTAACGGTTTATAAAGCTCTTTCGTTAAGTCTTAATAGTTCATAATATGTTTTATGCAGAATCACAATGCAATTTGTTAGATTTATCAAATACCAATTGGAAAACAAATGGAAGGATCGAACAAAAATACAAAAACATATATAGTGAAAATTCTATAAATTAATAATGTAAAGATTATCATATTTTATTAATTTATAATTTTAATAATTATTAATTATAAATTTTGGAACTGGACAAAATTATTGATTTATCAAATTTATTAATTTATTGAATATTAATTTATAAAGATTCTGTTCTACACGATAAAGCCAACTTGATTTAGAAAAAGAATCTACATTTAGAAAAAAGATACGATGAAGAAACATAAAAAAAAAACAAAAGAACCAGAAATAAAATATAACAGACTAGAAGTGTTGGATGGACGAGAGAATTTTTCATTTGAATTCGAGAAGTTAAACAAACACTAAATTCAATTATTGCTATTACTTGCATAAACGATTTAACAAATGTGTAAATTCTTGTGTTGCTTAAGTAGTATATAATACTATATATTAAGGTTTAACAAATGATTCCTAATACTCAACCAAAATAATTGATCATAATACAATAAAATAGTATCATAATCTTGACTCTACAACACAGCATTTTAGCAGCTAGATCACGTCTCAGGAGAAGCCAAGCTCCTACTAACCTTTTCAACTTTTCCACTCACGAGTATATTAAATATAGTATCATCATGTACAAGACCTTCCTCAAGCATCTCACCATGAAGTCTAAAAGCCTCATCCAGATTTCCTTCTCTATAATGTCCTGCGATAACGGCACTGTAGATAAGCACACTTGGAGTCGCATCTTTCTTCTTCTTCATCTCCTCTAACATCTTGCTTGCTCTCACAAACTGTCCCTTCTTACTAAGCCCGTTCACAAGCACCACGTAGAAGATTTCATCAGGGACAATCCCCAAACCAAGAACCTCCGAGTACAAATCAGAGGCAAAGATCAGATTCCCTTCTTTCAACAACCCATCGATCAGCGTTGTATATGTAAACAGATCACAACTTACTCCATCATTCACCATTTTCTTGTACAGCTCAACCGCTGCATCCATGTTTCCCACATTACGGAATCCTGAAATCAAACTATTGTAGAGAGACACGTTCGGAACCAGTCCTAGCTCCAGGAGTTCGAAGAACAGAGAGACTGCGGTTTCCATGTCCTGCTTTTTACAGAACCCGTCTATTAGTGCACAATAGGCTGGAATATCGAGTTTCAGATCCTTGCTTTTCATTTCTCGTCTCATCTCAAGAGCTAGATCAATTCTGTCACATTTGCAGAATCCGTTGATCAAGCTGGTGAAGGTTACAACACTCGGGGGGATACCGTTCTCACACATCTCTTTGTACGTTTCTACAGCAGAATCGGTTTTGCCTTCTCTGAAAAACCCATCAATGATGCTATTGTAACTCATGCAGCTCATGGGGCAGCGCTTATCTTCCATCAACTTTTGCAGCATCTCTCTCGCTTTAGATGTCTGACCAACTTTGCACAAACCGTTGATGATCGTGTTGTATACAACTTCACTAGCTTCGAAATTGGAAGAGAACATTTGATTGATAACATCCCAAGCGCTCTGTTCATCCTGATTCCTGAAAAATCCATCAATCAAGATGGAGTAAGTATAGTTATTCGGCTCTAGACCCTTTTCCAGCATAACCGAATAAACCGAACGAGCCAAGTCCATGTTTTTCATTCTGCAATGAGCAAGCATCATGTTGTTGTAAGACACTACATTAGTTTCAATCCCTTTCTTATCCATCATCCTCATTAAGCTCGTCGCTGCATCAATCTTTCCTTGCTTGCATAACAGCTGAACAATCTTGTTACACATGAAACCATGCGCAAGACCCGTTTCATAACAGTCGTTAAAGATTTCAAGTGCTGCTTCCGGTGACTCAGCTTTCAAACACCCTTTGATCATCGTGTGGACAAGCTCAGATGAAGGAGTGATCCCTACAGCTTTCATCCGTTCGTAAATCTCAACAGCTGTTTCCATCTTCTCACTATGACAAAACCATTCTATCAAAACCGAAAACATAACTCTGTCCGGAGCCAGTCCTTCCTCCTCCAATCTATCAAACAAATCCAAAGCCTTACCCAACTCATCCCCCTTGCAATACCCATCGATCAAACTCGTCGCAGCGATAACACTCATCGGTATCCCAAAACCAACCATCTCATCCTTAACCTTCACCGCTTCCTCCATGTCACCTTCCTTAACCAAAGCCACAATCACACTGGTATACGTTTCCTGCGAGGCAGAAACACCTAACCTGTCTCTCATTTCTCTCAACAACTCCAAAGCCATACCCAAATCCGGAATCTTACAAGCACCTTGAACAGCAAGACTATACATCAAACTATCTGGTTCTGCTCCTCTGCTCACCACTCTCCTGAAAATTTCCACAGCTTCTTGCGGCTTTCGATCTCTCAAGCTGCCTCGCATCAACAACTGCGTCGTAACATTATCACCAGCAACACCAACCCCAACCATCTTATTATAAATCTCCTTAGCTTCATCTATCGAATTACTCCTAACTAAAGATCTCAAAATGCTGTTCACATACGGCACGAAAGGAATCACATTTCGTTCCACCATCAGATTAAAGCAATCTACAGCGAGCTCCGTTCGCCTAGATCGGTTATAACCATTCAACAAGTAATTGAAAGCTCTCGAGTCGAGTCCAAAACCAAACCTTTGAGCCGAATCGACCAGATCGTTAACCGTCGCGCTAGGGATCAGCTTCGGGTTGCTCGAAACGAACATTACGAGCAGATTGCTGGCGCGATCGTAAGTCTGATGAGAGCTAACCAGAATATGAATCAGTACCCAGAAGACATCTCCGCCTTCGCAGATTCGACTCAAAGGCCTGACCCAATTGCAGTATTGTAGAGCCGAGACTGGGTCGTTCTTACGACCTAGAAGCACTTCGATTACACGAGCGTCGTCCACAACATCGCACTGATTCTGAACCTCGATGGTTGAAGCTAAAGGTAAATGATCCGTTCCAGGGGTTAGATTCGGAAATTTTAGTCCCGAGATGATTTCACTAGCGGAATCGGCGGTGTCTAGAGTCGAATTATCGGGTGGATTGGGAAATTGAGACTGTGAAGCAAAGGGTTTAGGGTTTATCAGACGATACAGAAGAAGAGGTGGACGGAATCGTTTGGAAACCAAGAAAGTTCTCATTTTTTGTTTGGCTAGCTTCAGCGGAGACGAGGATCGGAGAAGAAATCTCTAAACCAGTAAACCCCGAGCTGAGTCAACGAGGCTTAAACCCTACTACACTGAGAACCAAGCCTCGTAACCAAACGACATCGTTTCTAGTTTCTACTTTACTTGTTGTTTCCTTTTGTTTCTTTTATATATTTTTGGTCTTACTAATTCTTAAATCTTTAAAATCCCTCTGTTTTGGTTCTCATGTCGTATCACTGTAACAGTACCATTAACATAACAACTTTGTTACCACAGTACTTTGAAAAAGTGTATTAGTATAAACAGTACAGCGGAAATGACTAATACCTAACATAAAATAGACTGAACAGTATAAATCCTAAAAATGAATAATGTTTACGTTCTGTGCTAAATAGTCCTATTAGGTTAAAGCTTCATTTCAATGTTATTTAAAAGTTTTGTGCCGACATATGTTTGATGTTGTCAAAGATTTTGTTTGAAATTTTTAAAAAATCTTATATACACATAAAAATAAAATACTAGTGAAAACTATTTTTAGATGGGCCTCTCCAAAATGCAAGTACAAAAGGGTTTTGTCTTGAATGCATTGAGTTTTGTTTTATACTAATGATTATTTTGTTATATATGTGCATAATATAAAGAATTGGTATGAATACTAAGAAGGAAAATTAGTGGATTACTTGATGAAAACTATAAAGAAAATAAATAAATCAGTGACCGAATCATTCATTATCAGACGAAAAAAAAGAAACCATAAAAAAAGGGTTCAATACTATTATGGTTAAAAAAAGGTTTACTACTATTTCTTTCGCGCTTTTATGTTCGTCAGTTTTTTTTTTCTTACCTCTCCACTAATCACTGTTACTTGACTCGACATACTTCTTTGTCTTTTTGGTTTCAGAGCTGTCGATTCTGGTCGGGATGATAATACCCAACTTGACTCTTGGGTCTTGTTAAATCAAATTTGCAGAATTACCGAATCCAACGAAAACAGTGAAGCTCGAGTATATTTACTGATAAAGAAAGATTTTGGTAAACTCGCAGTTTTATCCTTTTACCTGCAGAGATAAAAAATAGAAAGAAAGCACATCAATCTTTGGTATTTGTCATGTATTCACTATTGGCTACGTATCCGTTAAAAAAAAACATCAAAGTAACACTACTATTTGGATCAAGTAACAGATTACAAAATGTTCTTACGTAAAACGGATCAAGTAACAAAAATATCAAAAATCACGGGCTATAGTATACCCTTAAATTATGGTTAAAAAAATAGATTAAAGGGAGAACAAAACCTGTTGCAACAAATCAAAAGGTGTAGTCACGCGCAGCGACAAATGCGGAACAAAAAATCAAAAGAAAGATTCAAAAAACACTTTCTTCATCTTTCTTTAACATACATCAACTGTTCGGATTTGTGTAAGACAAAAGAAGGACCGGAGATTACGGGGACCAATAGTGACGTAGACCTCTCTTCCCCGTCGGTGCCCAATCCACCAACTTTAACTCTCCACTGCTTCACTTGTTCGAACCAAATTTTTCGTAATTTTTTTCTTTTTGGTTTATAAAAGAATGTTCGCATGCACTAACCCATTTATAGCTAGTGATGCACTACCATTGTTGTTTTTTTTTTGTATTAATATAATACCATGCATCCCACTTGATATTTCACATGAATTAATTAATATAGTTCACTAACGTAAGATTAATACATTAGTAGATAACTGATAATGAAATCTACAATATTATAATAACGAAACAAAGACAACGCATGTAGTGTTTGGATGATTTAACAAATCATTGTACGTACCATTAATGTATTGTTACGTCTGTGAACAATAATCAATTCATGTGAATCAATTTCGTCACTAGATTAATTGTTTGTTGAGACAAGAGTCCATTACACCATAAACATATTCTTAATCATTGTACTTGAGATCTTTTCCCCGTGATGGAAGCTAATTAACTTCGAGATTAATTATGTTAAATTTATTCGTTATAACTTAATTATTATATAACAAGCTAGCGGTCGGATTTTAGAGAAGTATCATGCAGTATTTTGTTTCTCCTTTGGCTTGCATTCATGTTAATTAATTAGGACAATAGACGTGTTGGCAAGGACTTTGTTGATATCTTGAAGGAGTTTCATATTCCTTGAAGTCAAAACATTCAGCTCGTAAACTTTGAATACTATACTAAAAAAAAGACTTTGAATACTATATGATTATATCAATAACTGGAAGTGGAAATAGTTTGGACCAGAAGAAGCTTTTTTTTTTTTTTTTGAAAGAATGTATATAGGCAACTTATCAAATATACATCTTTATATATACTTATCAAATATACATCCTTAAATATAGGCAACTTATCAAATATACATCCTTGTAAATAAATCTTTAGCCGAATGTTTTGAATCACAGGAAATAGCATCTACATGCATTGTCATAGACTCGTAGCTACTTACTTGATCTTTGTTATTGTCTGTAGCTTTGGGATATTTGTTGTTGTCTGTAGCTTTGGGATACCCTACTGCGCATTTAATGAATATGTTACGCATTTTGTGAGGTAAAAGCCATACTTTTTTTGACTTTTTTCATAATCACATTAGTTTGTTTTGGATTCCGTCGTCCATTCGAATTGCTACAGACTCGGCCTGTGAGCACATATGGAGCCATTGACTTACTTGACTTCAGTCAACGGAGCAATCATCTTACTCTTGTGCATAGCTATGTTCATCACTCCCTCATATCGATTTTCTTTTTTTAAAAACCTAATTTTTTGTTTATACATGTAGAATTTGGTCAAAATTCAAGTTTCAGTGAGAAATTTCCTCTCAACTTTTTGATTCCGTTCGTGTGACTGTGACTACGAGAGCTGAATCTACATGGGCATTATTGGTCTGATTAATACAAATTAATAGAAATAAACTCTGTATATGTAAATACAAAGAGAAATATTTTTTTTTTTTGTATTGATACGTAACAACCACCACCTTATTGTTCTTATCCCACCATAATACATGATTATGGAATGACTTTTCAGCAAAACACACCTCAAAATTTCTCAATTCTTGGAATATGCGGCGGTTACAATTCATTTAATTATTGTCAGAAACTTAGAAGATTATACACGTACCTGTACGTATGTAACAGCAGATCTCGTATATAGTATTATAAATGGCTCATTCCTTGTCTAACAAAAAGTCACGCGTGAGATATTTAAAGACACTACAAAAGGAGATCCTTTGCATCTTCTGTGTTCTTGCTTGCTTTCGTCACTTGCTTTTTTTCCTCCGTGATTTCTTGATTCTTCCCGGATTCTTGAATTTTTGAGATGATTTAAAGGAGGGAAAAATAAAGAGAGAGAGAGAAGAAGAAGAAGAAGAAGAAGAAAAGCATCAGTTTTTCTTTTACTTTGGCATTTCTCTTTCGAAGCAATGTTGCGAAGGAGACTGCTCATTCTCTCCTTTCTCGTGTTCGTATGACAGATTAAAAATGTTTTTAAGGGTTTTTGTCTTATCTGGGCGATAATGCCTAGAGAGAGTGTTTAAAAGATTACTATTAAATACTCTTTTTTTTAGATTTTTGGGTTGTTGAGTTATTATCGCTTAATTACGATGCAAAGAGTACACAATAAACCGATTGATTCCATCGGAAAAGCTCCCTCCGCCACTGTTAAACATCACTTGATCAAACAGAGCAACGGCGGCGTGACGGCGGCGGATATGCAGGAGCCGAGCATCGAGACTGATAAGCTCAGCTACGAGATTTTCTCGATCCTCGAAAGCAAGTTTCTTTTCGGGTACGATGAACCCAAGCTCATGGAATCCCGGAGCCGAGTCCCGAGCCCCGAGCAGGAAACGCCGGCGGCGGTTGCGGAAGCTATGAACGGCGTCGTTCAGGGATCAATCAAGAACCAGAGAGGGAAAGTCTGTGTTCTGAGCATCGACGGTGGCGGAATGAGAGGGATTATACCGGGGAAGGCTTTGGCGTATCTGGAGCAAGCGTTGAAGTCGAAATCGGGTGACCCGGATGCCCGAATCGCCGATTACTTCGACGTCGCTTCCGGTTCCGGTATCGGTGGGATTTTCACGGCGATGCTTTTCGCCTCGAGCGACGGGGACCGTCCGATCTTCAAGGCGGATGACACGTGGCGATTCTTAGCCAAGAACGGGAAATGCTTCTACAAGCCACAGCAGGGGAGGATCCTAAACCGGGTCATGAAAACCGGGTCGGGTTCGAAGCTTGAGAAATCGATGAAGGAGTCATTCGCTGAGCTAACGCTCAAGGACACGCTTAAACCGGTGCTGATCCCTTGCTACGACCTCACGAGCTCTGCGCCGTTCCTTTTCTCACGTGCCGACGCTTTGGAAACGGACGGCTACGATTTCAAGCTGTGGGAGGTTTGCAAGGCCACGTGGGCTGAACCGGGAGTGTTCGAGCCGGTCGAGATGAGATCAGTGGACGGCAAGACGCGGTGCGTTGCGGTCGATGGTGGGTTAGCGATGAGCAATCCAACGGCTGCAGCGATCACTCACGTGTTGCATAACAAACAAGAGTTTCCTTTTGTTAGAGGCGTTGAGGATATGCTTGTGCTGTCTCTTGGGACAGGACAGTTGGTGGATGTCAAGTATGAATGTGATAAGGTTATGAAGTGGAAGGCTAAGCATTGGGCTCGACCCGCGGTTCGGATTTCTGCTGACGGAGCGGCCGATACTGTGGACCAGTCGGTTTCCTTGGCGTTTGGTCAGTGCCGTAGGAGTAACTACGTCCGTATTCAGGTAATAGCTTATGTGGTTTTGTGGTTATTATAATTTATGAATGTTGAATTCTTGATATTAATACAAGACTCGTTGTTTGGGTGGTTTAATAGGCGAATGGGTCAAGCTTTGGTCCGTGTAGAGCAAACATAGACACGGACGCGAGTCCGAGCAATGTGAATATGCTGTTGGGAGTAGCGGAGGAGATGCTGAAGCAGAAGAATGTGGAGTCGGTTCTGTTTAGTGGTAAAAAGATCAGTGAAGAAAGCAATTTCGAGAAGCTTGATTGGTTAGCCGGTGAGCTCGTGCTTGAACACCAGAGGAGGAGTTGCAGAATCGCTCCCACTGTAGCGTTCAAGCAATCAGGCGACAGAAGAACCGAGCAGAAGACGATGTTCAAGGATATTGATTGTATGTTTTGAAGAGATTTATATATCTTCTAATTTAAGGGTTTTAATTTGTATAGATTAATGTTTTTGAGTTATGAGGAGAAAGCGAACATCATGTTCCAACGTAGGCCTCTTTCTCGTCTATTTATTATAAATCGATCCTAAGAGATGTGTTATTTTTGCTTTGTTAGATGTAATTTTTATTGACTCAAAAAGAGCTTTGTTATAACAAAACTTTGCGATTCATATACAATGGTTTGTCAGCTGTTACGGACAAGGTTAGAGATTAAACAAAAGCAATGAAGACTAAAGAGAGCGCCGAGAGCCAATTCTCCATAATTATGTGGATTAATCAAATTAAATTTAGCCTAATTAGTAATTAGCTTACTTCAGAGAGAGATTAAGTCCTTTGTTATGAAGATGAATTGACAACTCATAGCACACCTTTTCTTTTCTTACAGAGTCATTGAATTTGCGAGACATCATGATTCCTTTCATTTTTGTATTTCCTTATATTTCAATTTCTTGATACCAATATCCAAAAATTCACAAGCATATCGGAAATATCTTAAAAAGAAAATATGTGTAGTGAGATCAAAACTCATTAAAGATTCAATTTGCTTGGAGACCAAATCTCTTTGTGTAATAATGATTTGATGTAACGTAAGTTCAAAGATGTGAACTTGGGAGCGTGATGAATAGAACGTATTAAGAAGCAGCTGTTATGAAATCATATTCATTGAGGGCTAAAAAAAGAGTTGCTTTCTTGATTTTTAATAATTATTTTGATGGTTACCAATTAGAACGGTTCGACGGGCAAAAGAAAACCAGTGTTGTCGTTATAGTGCGTGTGCATGGACCAAAGTCACGGTGCAGAAAACGTCGTATAGATGCGTAAAAAATCCCCACGTCCTCATGTCGGTTAGGTAACTCTCAAGTGATCGACACATTATGTATCAATGATTTAACAAAATTTCGCAACTAACTAAAACTTTAAGTTATAGCTACCAAACAAAATACAATATAGATTGTAGATTCAAAACCTTGGAAAATGTGTATCGTTTGTTCTGGTCTTGTGTGTTCAGTGTAACATATATCCTTGTCTATATTTTGATAGCTGTTGATAGACTGATAGTAATCTGAGAAAAAAGTTTTAATTTATTTTCTTTTCTGAGAAGAACTTTTTCTTTATTTATCTAAACTACACATTTTAAAAACATTGGACGATTCAGAGAAAATTGTGTATGTATTGATATTATCTTTTTTATTGTTGTTAAACTGTATGTATTGTCTTGCAATAAAATTACTATATATAAGAAAATATGAGCGATACACATTTGAATTTTATATTGTTTTCAATACGAAAATAAGTAAAAAAAAATATTGTATGAATAAGATTATAAGAAAATAGAAGAAAAAGACACAATGAGAGATACGTATTTTTTCTAAATATATGTAAACAATTTGGGGCGTGCATATGATATCTAAAATTTTAACACACAAAAAAAATCTAAGATGAAAAAATGAATGCAGAATCTAGAATGAAATTTACTTGAAAATACATGCGAACACCAATGATTCAAATGATGATTGAAGCAAAATATAAAAAAATATATGCAAAAACATGAAAGAAACATATAAAAGACTAGAGAGAATCCAACACTTTATCTACAACCAAAAAACATAAAAATTGTAGGACTAGAAAGTTTATCGGCCGACCCTAAGGATGATAGGCTAGGTGCAGTGTCAAAAGGATCGAGCGAAATGAGTTTGAGTACAAAGCACAAAAATCACAAATCCAAAAAAGTCAACACATATTGGTTCAAAAGTCAGCATGTCCATGTGTTGTGGGAGATGTTGTCGTGTTCTTTGTATACGACTATGTGAAGCTATTCTGTAATCTTGTGGTCGTAATCCATACTCCGAAGTCGAAAGAGTTGAGACCAGTTTGATCCAATTCGTAACGATACACACATACTATATGGCTAGTGCTATACACAATCATATATTTCCATAATTTCCAAATTCTCTGAAATTTTCACATTTTACAACCTAGTTTCATTCCAAATCATTGTACCATCAAAATAAACACACAAAGAAACCAGTGGCGGAGGCAGAAATTATATTTATAGAAGGCAATATTGAAATTGTTTAAAGAATCAAAGGGGTATTACTGAAATTATATAGAGTTTACATGAGATTTCAACAAAGGCACTGGGGTCAAATGCCCCCTTTTACATAACGTCGCCATTGAAAGAAATATATAAAAAAAGAGAAAAAAAATTTGTTTTATAATATTTGTTTTTTTTTTGTCTTCAAGAAACACATTTATATAGTTTGGATTCGGCAATGAAAATTCTTCTATCATATGTGTCATAATTTTGGAAACTCTTGACCAATTTATCTTCTTCTACATGGATCCACAAAGTAATCATCTAAAAGGCATATCCTGGACTATGATTATGATTATGATGACAAAACGAAATCGTATAGGTATAGCTTAACAGAGGCCCGTGTTTTCTATCCTACAAGCCCATAATTTTCTAGCTCATGTAATTAAATTATCTTAGCAAGCAGATAATAGCCCAAATGTGTTACATGTAGAGATGATATTTTGTTGAACCAAACTAAAGCATCTCAATACCAAGATCCAACATCAAATTCAACAGTTGGCAAATAACTAAACTAGCAAGATTCCAAACCAAACTTAAACCATCTCATAAATAACTTTACGAAAAGCCTATGTTAAGAGGTTTAAGTTCATATGTTTAGACTTTAGATTGAGTAAGATATAGTTATAGACCATTTTCAAGTTCTAGCTCATTTCCAACCATTTTCCAATTTAAACCATGATGACATTCAATTTCAATAAAAAAATTTAGATTTTTTTATATATTTATAATCGGTTTAGTGAACTATTTTTAAAAAATAACGTCATCCACCGTATTTATTGTAGTGACTATCACGTTTGCTAGTAATCCGAGTATCATGAAAACTACTTGGAAATAAATGGCAAAGCCAAGATGGCATTCGTGTTTTAAATTTAACATGTTCCAAGTGCAAGGGAGTCCTTAGATGTACGTCACATTTATTTATTTTATTTGTGGTTACGAACGAAAGACACATAATTGATATTAGAGTAAGGTGGATTAAATACTATTCATTGACTGACTATTCAATGAAAGGTAATTAAAACTATTCTACTCAAAATATTCATAGCATTGAGAATCTGAGATCAGACTAATCAATTAGTTATACATATCTATGACATTGGATGGACAGCCATATTAAGATCCTGCAGTCTTGCTGACTGATTATATTATTTAAGGACTATATGTCTTAGTTTTTGTAATCGTGATCGTATAATTAATATCAACAAGAAGTTTCGTGTCTGATAAAATATAGTAATAAAAATAGTTTGTCACATAGTTTTAGAATGCGATGCGATTAGTCTGCTTAGACCGAGTTATTCGTGATCTGGGAAAAAAAAATGTTATTCGAGTTAGTTGTATCACACTATTTCAGTTTTTGCATCTTCTGTTTTAATTTGTTTTGGTTTTATTCTTAATTATATAATAAATATACTATTATAAATGTTTAAAGATTAAAATTTGCTTTAAATGAATACAAAATTAAATTTGATTTACATCCTAACAGACTTAATATCATCTATTACCAATAAAAATATAATCCGTTTGAATATTAGTTTGAAAAGATTTTATGTTGACTTTTGAGGTAATTGCGTATTAAAACTATGTAACAGAGGTATTCAATCCGAATTAATCGAGTACTTTTCAAACCAAACCCGAAAATCCAATCTAAATTGTGAATAAATTCTAATTTTGGTAACATACTTTTATCATTTAAATATCTGGAAACTGTTGGAGTTTTACTGTTTATCGGAGTTTATGGGAAGTGTCTTCGACTCTTTATGAATTTATCTCTTTGGGGTCTGTCTTTATGTTAATATATGGGTTTGTCTTCATCTCTGTATGGGTTAATTCCATATATTAATCACTAATATAAAAAGAGAGAAAAACTTATACGAGCAGTTACCATTCAGCACTACTTTTAAGAAATTTTATTTTGCCGACTTATTTGATAAGATTAAATGCACCTAAACATAATTGATAAGAACAGAAAAAAAAAAGAAGATAACCCAGATAATATATTCTTTGACTCTTTTTTTGTCATGAGTTAGGTTCTCATTAGAGGACATTGCTGCATACAGAAAAACCATGCGTTACTGAAAGTCAAACTGAGATGTTCAAAAGAATAAGTCAAATTAAGAGAAAAAGAATTTTAGGAAATCTTTTTGATGATTCATTTCTCACAATATTCAAGTTGTGACAACTAAAGCCGATATCAGTTGTCATCCCAACCAATGTACTCCAACAAAAATTGGGACCATGTCATTATCAGATCATATGATAAAGAATCATCTACTTTTTGTGACAAAAAAATATTTACTTAGATTTATAAACTGGAAAAAATAGTGTTTGAATTAGGGGGTGTATTCAAAATAGAATTTATAGTGATTTGTATTAAAATCATAATTTTTTTACAGCAATTAAAATCACAAATTCTTTGTTATTAAAACATAAATTTTAAAAAATTATTTAAAATTCAGTGTTATTGAACCAGTGATTAGAAAATATAACTTCAAATTCACTGTTATTGAAAATAATTTAAGTAGTAGATTTTAAAAAACTTGGAGTGACTTTAAAATATTTTGATAGAATTTTCTAATTAAAAATATAAAAATCCAAATCACATGGTTTTAACTGGAGTTTGATAAAATTTTGATATCAAATTATAACAATTTACCTAATTCAACTAAATCATCTAAAAACTCATTAAAACTCAAATCTTTCTAAATTATTTCAAATGTTAAGTTGAATACACCCTCTTAAATATGAAAAATAAGAATTTATAGAGAATTTGATTGTTTATTTACGTTTGGATTTGCATGCTTTTTGAAAAATAATTATAATGTAAAATTGTTAGTATATTTAGATATACATATCTTTGTTTCCATTCAAACATCATTTATAATATATAAACATAAAATAAATAAAATTATACTGTTATATTTGGTTTTGCATTTATAGCTTAGAATGATATATAATTAACAAACGCATTTTAGTTTGGAACAACCAAACTATTAGTATGTGAACCTATAAACACACTTTGTTTCATGAAAAATAGGGACCTTGAATCATGTTCAATAACTTTATTTTTTTCATCAAAGGTGATCCCAAACTTCTACACCTAATCGTTTTGTTGCCTATGCCTTTTTGGTTAATAATTACTCTACTCCAATTTACTAAATTTATTGAGGGAAAAAACGTACTAAAAATTTGCAATATGAATGTTTGTCCAAAAGTATTGAACAGTTCCTAGTTGCGGTTATTATATTACATCAGTTATTCAAATGTGTACGTAGTCATATATACTGATAAACCATGCATCTTTTAGACACATAAAAGTGAAATGTAAAAAGAAAATGTACAGTTTAATCTTGTTACTTTTCAACTAATAGAAAGCATATTAAACGAGCTAAACTGCACCACCACTTTGTTCGTTTTAAGCACTCTAGTTCGTTTTAGATGTCGTGTCGTCAAGATTAATAATGACTGCAAATCTTGGGAATCTTTTACAACTTCCTTCTTCACCATCGCCAGAAAGAGCTGAAGCCGATGTTCCTACCATGAGACAATCTCCAAGAACAAGATCAGGAACTAAAGACCTAGCTGATGCCTTCAACCAAGCAGTAGAGATACTGATCACTTCTCAGCATTTAGAGGATGTCACTACTCAACTAAGCCAACTGAGCATCGCCAAGGAAGCAGCAATGGTGATGGCATATCTAGATGAGGAGAGCATTCCCAACAAACAAGAAGACCTTCCCAACGAGCAAGAAGGCGGTTTAGACATCATCAACGACCCTTACATCAAAAGCATAGGTTATACACGTGACTGGCCATTGATTCATGCTAACAAAGGAGTTTCCTTATTCACCATCACGACATCTAAGTAAACCGCGTCAATTTGAGCTAAACCAAGGTACGATCCAAATCCTTAATTTCCATATGGTTTAGTTCTACTAATCAAACATTTTCTGTTTTGTTTCTTGGTTTAAGTTTTATTTCATTTAAACTTTAGTATAAGGCATGTTGGCCACATTTTATTTACATTTTCGTTTTAAGGCATTGTTAGCCAAGTAGTTTAACCTAAGAGTTTTGTAATCTGTTTCAAGTCCCCTAGAAGGGAAAAGCTGTTCGGACTGTTTATAAAGTCCCCTCACAGCCGTGTAAGCCGTGTATTCTTTTCAACATATCAATAAAGCACGAACTTCTTGGCTAAGTACCAACTCCTTTGTTCTCTAAAGCTTTGTGTGATTCATTGCTTGAGAGTTCTTGTCTTATCAAGGTTTAGATCCATAAAGCCTTGTGGCGACTTTCATTCCATCTCTCTATTCATCTCATTCTTTAGATCTTGCAAATAGAGTGGCACAACTCTTTGTTTGATCTCCATCTCAATCCACTTCCTTCCATAGCCCATCCATTGATTGCAAGCCGAAAGAGTTGAACAATCAGCGGTCCAATCCCATCACCATACACGGTTACTAACTTGTAGGCGTGTGTCAAGAATGAAAAGCAGAGAACATATCAATGATATATAAGCATTCTAAAATTATTATCCAAAAGAAAAACATTGATAATAGCTATCATTGAGAAAAATCATGGAGGTGTGATATCATGAAGATGACATTGGATGAAAATAAAAGAGTCAAATATATGACGTTCAAAATATTAAATTCTGTTTGGTACGGGGTTTCTATAATAGAGAATTAGAGATATACACACACCACGGATCACTTCTATTATAGTCCACCCACCCAATAGGGTTGTCTTTATGAATATCTCTATCTTGTGTTTTACTTTTTCTTATGATCTGTCTTGTTCTTCCAACTTCCTAGCTATTCACAAATTCAATTGTTATGACCTTTCTTTTCTCCATCCTCCCCTATTGACAAAGTCCTTTTCAACTAAGGATTAAATTCATTACAAGAAAAATCATCGACTCCATGCATTGAATTTATTGCCATTTTCTCTAGTATAAAAACCTACTTAATATCTCATAATACTTGTAAAAGATATAATTAGCAGATCGCTTCTAATCTTCCCTCTCTAATCACTCTCTAAGTCAACGTCAACAACAACGGTCATCGCCTTCTCTCTCTCTCTTCCCTTTATTCACGCACACTTCGTGGCTAATATATTCCAACAAGAACACAACCCACAAGCATCCCTCTCGACACACACACTTCTCTCCTAAAACCAGAAAACAATGGTGGTTGCAAGTCCCGGCAGCTCGATGAAGAGCTTAACCATCCAAATCCTAACCGGAAGATGGTTCATGTTCTTCGGGAGTCTCTTAATCATGTCGGCGGCTGGAGCCACTTACATGTTCAGTCTCTACTCAGGCGATATCAAGAAAACCTTAGGCTACGACCAAACCACGCTTAACCTCCTCAGTTTCTTCAAAGATCTTGGAGCCAACGTTGGAGTCCTCGCGGGTCTAATCAACGAGGTGACTCCGCCTTGGTTCATCCTCATAATCGGAGCCATACTTAACTTCTTCGGCTACTTTATGATTTGGCTCGCCGTCACAAAACGGATCTCGAAACCTCAAGTTTGGCACATGTGTCTCTACATCTGCATCGGAGCCAACTCGCAGTCGTTTGCTAACACCGGATCGCTCGTCACGTGCGTCAAGAACTTCCCGGAGTCACGTGGTGTTGTCTTGGGGATTCTCAAGGGATATGTTGGTCTTAGTGGCGCCATTATTACACAGCTCTACCATGCCTTTTACGGCGAAGACACCAAAGCTCTCATCCTGATGATCGGTAAGTACAGTTTTTAATATATTGATGACACTATATGGTTAATGATACGATACAGAGGAAAACAGAGGTTAATGGTTATTACATGAATCTTGAAATAAAAAAAAGTGGAAAACATGAATTAATAACCTTTTTTTTTAACTAATGAATTAAAAAAAAAAAATCTTGGATCGAAAAGCAGACTAATTGAATGAGTTATTGTATATGCAGGTTGGTTACCTGCAGCAATCTCGTTTGCTTTCTTGAGGACGATAAGGCTGATGAAAGTACAGAGACAGACAAACGAGCTAAAGGTGTTTTATAACTTCCTCTATATATCGTTGGGGCTCGCGACGTTTCTCATGGCGGCCATCATCACCAACAAACTCTCCGGCTTTACACAGAGCGAGTTTGGAGGTAGCGCCGCCGTGGTGATCATCTTGCTTCTTGTTCCGATCATAGTCGTCGTCCTGGAAGAAAAGAAGCTTTGGAAGGATAAACAAGTCGCCTTCAACGATCCAGCACCGATCGATATCGTCACCGAGAAACCGAACTCAGATTTATCAGAGGTCAAAGATCATCATGACACAGAGCCAGAGGAAAGGGAGACGGTGAAAACGGCGTCGTGTTGGACGACTATGTTTAGTCCACCGGAAAGAGGAGATGACTACACGATCTTGCAAGCGTTGTTTAGCGTAGACATGTTGATCTTGTTCTTGGCGACCATCTGTGGCGTGGGAGGGACTTTGACGGCGATAGATAACTTGGGTCAAATCGGTAGCTCGCTTGGCTATCCAAAGAGAAGCGTAAGCACGTTCGTGTCACTAGTAAGCATATGGAATTACTTCGGTCGTGTGGTTTCTGGTGTTGTCTCTGAGATCTTCTTGATCAAATACAAATTCCCAAGACCACTAATGCTCACACTGATCCTCCTCCTCTCCTGCGCCGGTCACCTCCTCATCGCTTTCAACGTCCCCGGTGGACTCTACGTCGCATCCGTCATCATAGGGTTTTGTTTCGGTGCGCAATGGCCGCTTCTGTTTGCTATCATCTCCGAGATTTTCGGGCTCAAGTACTACTCGACATTGTACAACTTTGGTTCGGTCGCAAGCCCCATCGGGTCTTATTTGCTAAACGTTCGTGTCGCCGGGTATTTGTACGACGTGGAGGCGGAGAAGCAATATAAAGCATTAGGGCTATCGAGAGAGGAAGGGAAAGATTTGAATTGCGAAGGCACGGCTTGTTTTAAACTGTCTTTTATTATAATTACCGCTGTAACTTTGTTTGGTGTATTGGTCTCGATGATCTTGGTGATCCGGACCAAGAAGTTTTACAAGAGTGATATCTACAAAAAGTTTAGAGAAAAGGCCTTGGCGGCCGAGACGGAGATGGCAAGGCCGGCTCCTCCGGTAAGATCGACGGCGGAGGAGGAGGAAGAGAGGGATACTGTTAATGGCAAAGAATTAGGCAAAGGAGGGTAAAGTTGCTTAGTAAATGATGATTGTTAAAGATACTAGATCAGACAATATGGTAAAGTATTTTGTAAACATATTATATGTCCCGATACAAGCTTTTGGAACACATCTGTCCATCGTTACTTTAGTTTGATGTTTTTTATCGTTTTGTGTTTTAAGGATTATGGATAGTAGTGAAAGGGTAAAATTTGGAGATAGGTAAAGGTCATGAGTCAACTAACGAGTTTAGACTTTGTGATTTTGTGAGCCACAAGTGACAACTTTGAATGAATCATTAAAAAGATAAAGAAACTAAATTATTGCAAGTGGGAAAAACTTGGCTCACGTGTGTTGGTAAGACTTGGACTTTAATGTCGGTCTACACTTGCGTAATGTGAATCTAGAACGAGTGCGTCACAATGATATGTGGGAAAGTTTATTGGTAAACGCGTTTAAGAACAAAAAAGTTTGAAAACGTGCAACATTTTTTTAGAAATATGCTCGAACAAATTCTCAAACTTTAGTTAGTGGATAGTGGATTTTCAAAAAGTTATTACACTCGTGAAATACTTATGTAGTGGATAAAGAATCGGAAAAAGACAAACCATTAAGTTATTGGAAAGTCGTCTCTGAATATTAGTTTAGGATGAAGCAAAACTATTTATTTAGAAAGAAAACAATAATTCTCAGAAATATCCTTTTTCATAAATAGTAAAAACTGAAAAAGTTTGGCACAAAATTAAGTCGTTGATAATACAACATTTAAACAGTAAATCATAGTTTTTTTGAACAAGTGATTTTGGCTTTAATTTAGTAATTTTCCTAGTTTTTCAGTAGGGAACCGTTTATATATTTTGTTTTTTATATTATATTATAGAGTTTTGTTAAAATTATGGTATCGAGGAAAATATATATTTTCCGCTGTGATTATTCAACTTTTGGATTTTTCCAAACAGTTATTTTAAGATTTTAGATACTTAGGAAAATCTTTCAGAAGTTATTGAACAAGGATATTTAATGGAGCATATAGCAATTAAATGGTTATAAAAACTGCTTGTTAAAGTCTATAGTAGATAATTCAAACACTATAATGTTCAATATGATTACATAGCGTCATACTTATACATAATGGTCCAAGAATCTCGGATCAGAGGTAGCGTTAGCGGTAGCGTCCATGTCTCAGCAGAAGAAAATAATGTAGTTTGATAATTTAATCTCAACCAGTTGTTCAATAATAGTGGAAGTTTTTTTATCAAAAAATAATAATGGAAGGGACAACACACGTATAAGTTAGTATATCGTATTGTTTTAATAGTCAAAATGAATCAAAATATAACACATGTATGATGTATATTCTAGGTATGACGCCATTTTCGAATAATGTATCAATTATTCAACCATCATAACCATATACTTCAAAAGGTTTGAATATGGTGAAGAAGATGGATGATGAGACCGAAAATTCAATTCAAAATTAACACTAAGACTCAAGACTCAACATCCACTTTGTGAAAACATCTTTTGTTAATTTTAAGTACAACATGTTATTTGGAATTTGATCTACATATAAGATGCTATTCTCACAAGTGTCTCTAAAAAATTACACTTAAAATTATAATTTATAATGAACAACAAAAGAAGAACTATATAGTTACAATTTGATATCGGAAGCATTCAATGCAATGCGAGAAAGTGGGAACGTTCCAAGAAACTCCAGCTGTAATAACATGGAGAGAATCAACTATGCATATAAAATTATCCACAAAGCCACACAAAAAAAAAGAAAGTACTACGACAATTACAAATCAACTAGTCAAGCCTCCTACTTACTTAAATGGCCTTCTTTGTGTATACATGAAGCCCAGTAACGTTCAGCTACACCAAAATGGATTTAAATGTTTGCATTGAACTGGTTTTAGATATTCGCTTAAACCAATATGTTTTTATAAATTGTATCAAATCACATTTTATCAGAAAGAATAATTTTACAACAAAACACAACTTTGATTTCAAATCACTTTCATTAAAATATTTACATTTTACTATTGTAGCATATGATTAACTTTCTTAATAATAACGAATATATTGCTTGGTCTTTCATAATTTGGTTTTAGTGCTTGATGTAAGCCAAAGTTTTGAAATTAAGAACGTTTATTAATTTCACTAAATGAAATTTCAGTTATTATTTTTTATATTTATATAAAATTTTCACTTAAATTTTTCTATATATTTTTCTTTGAGGAAAATAAACGAACATTCAAACAAAAATAATTATATCTGAATCTTGGAATTGTCAAGTAATGCTACTTAATCGAGACTAAGACTACGTACGTGAATATTTTAACTACGTAACAAGAAATGTCTATAATTAGTTGATAGAAACATTGTTATTTGTCCAACTTGCAGAAAAAATGAAATTGTTAATCTGTGTAAATATATGTACAAATTAAATATGAAGTGAATATTATTATATCTATTGTTATTTGTCCAAGTTGCTCAAAAAACAAGGGAACAACACGTTTTTAGAGATGACTTCCAAGTTTTTTTTTATTGGATAATGATACAAAACGCAAAGAAGAAAACAAACGAGATCGGTTATAAGATTGAGAAATTGGAAATATGGCTCAAAACAAAGATGGGCACGGTTTTGCACCACGGCCTTACCAAAGAAGGTCAATGCTTATGAAGTTAAGATCAATACAATTCATGGAATGGCAATGTCAACATCATTTGAGTTGACTCCAACCATCCACCTCTCTAAATAATAGTTATTCAATTCAACAAATGTCTGATGAAATGATTTAAGTACTCAGTTCATTCATTGTAATCTTAGAGTAAAAATATGAAAGTCCACGATTCCATCAATGTTGCAACTCGTTACTTCGTAAGAGAGATTTAAACTTATTGGGGTAAACAGAAAATCGTAGGTTCTGTCTGTCTTTAACAAAAAACAACAAAATATCCGTAGTAAAAATACCTAAAATTATATGTACACCATAGAAGATGAAAATATCTACGAGGTGGTGTTTTTAATTATTTAAACTGCATACGTTAAGACGAAGTATTATGCCTAAATTTTTGTCTGATCCAACTCTCCAATCATAAAAGAAAATGAATTGTACAGTAATATTGGGCCATTGGCTATATATATTGATAAATTATTATTTGCTTACTTAAGAAAGGAAAATTTTTAAAATATGAGAAGTATGTGCTATTATCGATATGAATTGTTGTATATATGGTAACTGTTCCATTGAGATTGGAAGTAAGAAAATAAAAATATTTTAATCATCTTAAAGTTTAAATACCGTTAGTGAGTGTCATCTCTTTCTTCAGTCACGTTGCGAATCAAATACTTTTGACAACCCACTAATCATTTTTATATAATTAATCAAGAAAAGGGAGATCCATAATTGTTTTCAGAAAATCTTATCGACCGTTAGTGAGTGTCATCTTTTTCCCGTTAAGTTTAACTTCACGATTTAGAACGAATTAAAGTACTTCAAAATTCATCAGGTTTGACTAAAAGATCAATCTCAAGAAATAGATAGCTAGATTCATTTTGAAATAAAAGATATTTGAATTTCATCTGGTCATATATGAAGAAAACATTGTACTTTCTTGAGGAAATAATGTTCTTTAGTTAGGATATTCAAAAGCAATACCAAATGATTTCAAATTTGGCTGGTTTCCAAGCCCCAAAAGAAAACTACAAACCTTTTAATTTGAGAATAACCTATTGAAGCCTGCCTTAATGAAGTCAACCCAACATGACGTGTGGTTTCTTTTGGATGAGTGTAATATGTCATAAGAATTAAGTAGCTTTTTTTTTCTTCAACAAGATTATGTACTAACTTATTGAATATATATTTCGTTTGCATTTTAAAAATTCAAGGGAATAGAAAATTCCATAGATGACTCGTTCCCAAACCTTGATTTTTTCTTTAAGTTGTTTTTTCTATACTAACTGTTTTTTACCAGTCGAACAACACGACTAGTTATAATTCTTGATCCCCTTGAAATTTCTCTGCGTTAATCCCATTCAAAAATATTCTAATATGTTGAAAAATGATATAGTTTGTTAGTTATAAATATTGACATTCGAAAGAACTGCCAAAAAAATCATTTATTTGATCGTGGCCATTATCAAACTTTGGGTCTTTATCACAACGACCGAACATTTTTATTTGATTTTTAAAATTGAAATTCGTCTTCAACGTATGAGATTAGAAGTGTAGTTCACACGGCGCTACCAGTCTCGTAGAGTCTTTTCTCTTTTTTTTTATAACTTCACCTCAAATCCTTATCTTTGAATTAGTCAAAAGTCTTCGTTTCCCTGATTTTTATTATAAATAATAATAAACTATTGCGGCTCTCACTTGTTTGACTTTCTTTTATTCTCTCTTTGCGAAGAAATAACAGCGCATGTATATGTATATGTATCTTGTTTTTTATTGTAAGTTTGTAAGTTTGTAACATGTGTATATATATAGACATAACAGGAACAAAGGCCATATCACTTTCTTTCTCCTTTTCCCCAAATAGATAAAGAGGAACTTGTGAAAACCCTAGACGCTCATATACATATCAGAAACTTGGAATTTTGATTAGTGAAATTAATGGCGATAAAAGAGAGATCATTGGAGGAGACACCAACATGGGCTGTTGCTGTTGTTTGCTTCGTTCTCCTATTCATATCCATAATGATCGAATATTTCTTGCACTTTATTGGTCACGTACGTATCTTTCTATTTCTCTTTTCTTCAAATGATATAAGGAACTATACAATAGTTTCATTATATACGGCCTTCAAATCTTATTGCAACATCTCTCTAATTTTTCTTTTCAAATTGTAGTGGTTTAAAAAGAAGCACAAGAAAGCTTTAAATGAAGCTCTTGAAAAGGTTAAAGCAGGCAAGTTAACTACTACTTTTCTATAAAGATAATTATCATAAATTTGGATATGTCTTTTTATATCAGAATCTGATCAATCTTTCTCTATTTGAATTTCCAACTAACTTTTTTTGTGTGTGGGTTTGCAACGAAAATAGAACTGATGCTACTGGGATTCATATCGCTTCTACTCGTTGTACTGCAAACACCAGTCTCCGAGATTTGCATTCCCCGAGATGTTGCTGCGACTTGGCATCCTTGTAGTAGAAATCAAGAACTCGCTAAATACGGTAAAGATTATGTCGACGATGGCCGCAAAATTCTTGAAGACTTTGACTCCAATGACTTTTATAGTCCTCGTCGAAGTTTAGCCACCAAAGGTTATGACAAATGCGCAGAGAAGGCATGTTTTTATAATTTGTTACTAGTTACTTTTTCACCTTTTAATTCTTGCACCTTCTTATTTAGCAGTTATATCGGAATCTTATTTTATTTTTTATATATGTGAACAATTCTTTTCAGGGGAAAGTAGCATTAGTATCTGCGTATGGTATCCATCAGCTGCATATATTCATCTTTGTGCTCGCTGTTTTTCATGTTCTCTATTGCATTATAACCTATGCTTTGGGAAAAACCAAGGTACATGATCTTTTCTATACATTTTCCACATTTGCATATATATATATATATTATGTATTAATTTGTGATTATATTAATATGTAATATGCAGATGAAGAAATGGAAATCATGGGAGAAAGAGACCAAAACAATTGAGTACCAATATGCCAATGGTATGCACATATATCTAATCATTATCTCATCGCCATAGAGTTTCTTTTTGTAGTAGTAGTCAAAGAAAACAAAATCAAAAATGAATTTATAATAAAAGAATGAATATTTATCGGATAAATATTTTCGTTGGTGTTTGACTTTGGCAATGTTAACATCAAGATCACGTATTCGGATTAGTTTATACCTCTCAAGTTCGTTAACTTCATTGATTAGTTGTTATATTTATTTGACTGAGATCATCGGACATATAAGTAAAGATTATCCAATGACACAACGCCTTTTGTTTGACTCGTGAATAAACAATTTAACGCAAGAAAGTACCATCACTTTTTTTAATCAACTTTATATGTGTTCTCTTCTCTTATTTAATTTATTTAATTCAATTGATTTGATTGTTTAAAATACTGTAGATCCAGAGAGGTTTAGATTTGCAAGAGATACATCGTTTGGACGTAGACATTTGAATGTATGGAGCAAGTCTTCCTTTACCCTCTGGATTGTAAGTTTTATTTTATATATTCTCTTAATAATTTTACTTCATTTTCCTCTAATAATGGGTTTAAATGTACAATAAAACTGATGGATATAAATGGGGGCATGCAGACATGTTTCTTCAGACAGTTCTTTGGATCAGTGACAAAAGTGGATTATCTTACACTAAGACATGGCTTTATAATGGTAAGTAATAACTATAATGGTAAGTAATAATCGAATTATTACTCAGGTACTATATAATCTAAATTGCTAAACGTTGAATTGGTGCAGGCACACTTGCCAGCAGGAAGTGGAGCTCGTTTTGATTTCCAAAAATACATTCAAAGATCTTTGGAAGAAGATTTCAAGGTTGTTGTCGGTATAAGGTTTGTACCTTTCTTTATTTAACTTATACTCATTAATATTTTCTACCAATAATCTAATTTTACATATATAATATTATAAGCATGATTAAATTAGTTATTAACATACTTGTGTGTGGACGGAAATGCAGCCCGGTGATATGGTGCATTGCTGTCTTATTCATACTGACTAATACACATGGTATGTCCTAATTCTTTAACATTTCATTTAAGTAAGTGGGAAAATTATCTATACCAACGAAAATAATATAAACTTCAAAATTGTTTCAAATTAAAATTGTAGGATGGGATTCCTATCTTTGGCTGCCTTTCCTCCCTTTGATTGTAAGTAAAATTATAAACACGTGACTCCAAACTTTTCAGTTGGTTTATCAAATTATTATTAAGTTGTGATTGTGAACATATATTAATGATATTAATTATATGATTGGTATGTTTAATGAATTGAAGGTGATATTAATAGTAGGAGCAAAACTTCAAATGATAATATCGAAATTAGGATTGAGGATTCAAGAAAAAGGAGATGTGGTTAAAGGAGCTCCTGTGGTTGAACCGGGCGATGATCTCTTTTGGTTTGGTCGTCCTCGTTTCATTCTCTTCCTCATTCACTTGGTTCTTTTCACGGTATTATTTTATCTTATTTTCTACTCTTAGATGTATTTATTCATTTCCTTTTCCTTTTACTTATGATTTTTCTAATAATAGGTTTTCTCATGCATATATATATTTTTTAACAGAATGCATTTCAACTGGCTTTCTTCGTTTGGAGCACTGTGAGCAACCGTTTCTCTCTTCCGAAAAAAAAAAAATATCTTCCTTTAAAACTGTCCATAATAAATTAATTGACTATGGTTTTGGTTTTAATTTTGCAGTACGAATTCACACTCAAAAACTGCTTCCACCACAAAACCGAAGATATTGCAATTAGGATAACCATGGGGTTTGTTAACTTCCTCAACTAGTTATTTATCATATATATAACACTAATATCCATGAGATATATTTTACACCTTTAAACTAAACTTCTTCTTCTTGTAAACCACAGGGTATTAATACAAGTTCTATGCAGCTACATCACTCTACCTCTTTATGCCCTCGTGACTCAGGTATAGTCTAAATTCTGATACAATCTTGCACAGTATAGATATGTAAAATATCATATGATAAACTTTTTAATCTCATCAAAAATAACTATTTAGCAGTAATGAATGGATTGATATAAATCTCCTATATATATAGTTCATTATTAGGTCTCAACTTATAGTCGATATAGGATTCTCTAACACTAAACCGTGATTGTAGATGGGAACGTCAATGAGGCCGACTATATTCAACGACAGGGTAGCCAATGCATTGAAAAAATGGCACCACACGGCTAAGAAACAGACCAAGCATGGACACTCAGGGTCCAACACACCTCACTCGAGCCGCCCCACCACTCCAACACATGGCATGTCACCGGTGCATCTCCTCCACAACTACCATAACCGTGCCCTTGACTATCAAACCAGCTTCACTGCCTCTCCTTCTCCTCCTAGATTCTCTGATTTTGGCGGCCACGGTCATGGTCATCAGCAGTTCTTTGATCCTGAATCTCAGAATGTCTCATGCCACCGTGAAATCACAGATTCTGAAAACAGCAATAGTCATCATCCCCATGCTGACGTGGCAAGTCCTGTGAGAGAAGAGAGAGACGTTATTGAGCATGTTAAGGTTGATTTGTCGGAGTTTACGTTCAAGAAGTGATAGGACTTCTCTATATTTGGTGTTCATTCTTTGTAAATGATATAAACTTTGGCAATGAACACATCTCTTCTTTATTTTATTTTTTTAATTTATTGTTTTATTATGAATTTTGCTGTAAGCTCAAGGATCAGAACGCTTTATGATATCATATCATATCATATTAACAAACAGATTTCTCATCAAAAAGTATTATCTTAAAGCACCACAACAAATATAAATTTTCTTTTAGGGTCTTAAATATGTTTAGGTTTTTGGGCTCACCAATTCTTCATCTAAGACGAATTGATTTCTATGGATGTTATATCACAGGCATTTCATAGTGGAGCATTGCCAGAAGTTGTGAACAAGTCTGTCTTTGTGTTCTTAAAGCTGAGCAAAAGGATCTAGATTGTCTTGAATATTATGCTTGTACAACTTTGTAAGAGTAACACATATGGTCATATCATTACATCTGTGACAATGATTGTCTGATAGTATTAGACATGGAGCAAAATCTTTACACTAAAATCTTGAGTCTTTCTATGAAATCTCACCCTTTTGACTTAAGGAATCCTTGGCTTCACAACAATATACATCAGATGTTTTTTGGTTCTGTGTCGGTGTGAGATGTTCAGGTACGAAGTGCGACTGGAGCAGACAGAGATAAGTAGTTGATGTAACCTTCAGAGACCGAGATCACAAACCGATGGCAAGCAAGAGCAGTGGTGGTGAGAAACATGACAAAGGATGTCCAGCAGAATCTGAGCGCCAACACTCGATCACTCTTTGCAGATTCCAGTATCTTTCTTAGTATCACTCTGACACGTTTGTCTCTGATTAAAGTCTTGAAATCTTCTACTGTAATGTTGGTTCCTGAAGATGGTGGTGGGTCTGAGAGAGAGATGAATTTAAGGGAATTGATTCCGAAGATCCCGACCATCCATTGGTACAGTGTATCTGCAATTGTTGTGCAAAGTTTCTTCCGGATGACACGTGCATCTCTTGAAATAAATGTCCGGATCAGTGAAGTCCCGTTCTGTTAACCAAAGCAGAGAACCAGAGCAAGTTCGTAACGTTAAGGTCATTTTCCTCAGAAATAAACACATCCACTTTAAACCACAAATGTAGAAACTAACCGCAGCCATCAAGAGTCTTCTAAGAACCACACCGTCTTTGGATCCCAAAAGCCTCAGGACCAAACTTACAGTGTCAACCTCTCTGTTCGTTCGATTTGAACTGCTAAGAACAGAAGTTTCATCCCTTGATGATGTTACCAGTGGCGAACCCTTCCTAGAGTAGGGAACAAATAAGTTAGACCTAGAATACTAGCAAACAATAAACAGGGCTAAATTAAATAATACAGGAAATGCATGTTAAGATCATTCAATAATTTCTAATCATTCTCAGTCAAAGCTACTTTAAATGCCTATTACTTGCTCTTTGTTCTGAACCATATGGCTGCTGTGATTAAATTTCTCAGTCACACAATTTCGTATCTATATTATCTGGTGCTTCAGTAATTTAACTATGGTTCCCTGATGCTCGTGTCAAGAAAGTACTTTAAAAGAGACCCAATTAGGCACGAAAATTCTCATGTTTTTCGTATTACGTAGAACACCTTCTTATGTAACAGACATAATTCAAATAATTGGGGTCAAATGTCTGATTCACTATACCTCGCAGAACTTTTACTCAGGAAAAGAGCAACCCTTTCCCATCGAAATTCCTTCTTTCGGTTAAGGACTGCCTACAGGCACCAACAGAAAATTTAGAAATTTATTCAGTTTCTCTTTGAACAAATGAATGCACAGTGAAAATTCCAGAAAGGATATGTAACTGAATTCCCAGATGTACTACTAACGATATAAATGTCAAGTTTCTCACTGCCTTTAGTTTTATGAATGAGAAGAACTACTTATTTTGATGTGAATCTAGGAAATCACATAAATGGCACTAAATATTCATGTCATACCGAATGAAGAATTTTCCTTGTCGCAGCTGAATTTTCAGTGAGGAGTTTTTGAACCACAAAAGGGTATGCAGCCTCAAATGTCTTGAAATTTGGATCTCCAGCTGCAGCCAAACCTGGGGAAACATGAATACAAAGCCACTATTGAATCGAAAAAAAGCTGACTTGAGTATTCCTTTAGGATATAAACCAACTGAAAGCATGACGCAAATTGCCTAAGATCACTTCCTGGATAGCATTTATTGTTTTTCTATCACAGCCATCTAACAAACAGGCACAAGGTTGAGAAAATATATTCGATCGATGCAGATGCAGATGCAGAAACCAGCTCGATTCCCTCTTCACATATTCAGAACATGCTTGGATGGTGTTTTATTTCTTATACCCGTGATAATTAAACCATCAAACAAAGAGAAATTAGGAATTGGAAGTACCTTCCAAGCAAGCAAGAGAACGCAGGACAAGTGTGAAGTATGGTGGCATGCGTAGCTGATAGTTCAGGGCCACTTTGAGTATATTACTAAGCACCTTCAGAAATTTAGAATGGAAGAATAATTAGCGAATCCACTAGTACTCATTCAGAAGATAAAACTATAACAACGAAGGTGCACTAACAACTGTTTCTAACATACATGTCTCACCTTGGTGAACTCGATATCAGGAATCCCGTTTTTAAGTTCAACCTCTCCCAACGCATATTCCAGATCCTGTATTATTTTCAAGAATCATAAGATATGAGACTAGCATATTTAACACTAAAAAAACCTTCAACTATATTCTTGTAGAAATATACATAACACTATATGAGTTATCAGAAATTATTTACCATCGTAAAACGACGCGTATTGACCCCTGTCGTGATGACATCCATATCAGTCAATGCTTCAACAAGAGAGGCCCAATCACCATTCACGATATGCACAATTGATGCGAGCATGGCAAGCTGGTGTTTTCTTTGCATCCGACAAACTAAACCAAAGTCCAAAAACCTTGCATAGAAACACGTTGTCATCAAATAAAGATCATCCTGTCACAGTCAGATTTTTCTGAGTTACGCTGATGAATGGTCAACTGGTCAAGAGAACGTACCCTATTTGTCTTGATGCCGTGTAACGCAAGTTTCCAGGATGTGGATCTGCATGCAATATACCCGTATCAAGGAGTTGTACTAGAGTTGCCTCTACACCTTTGTTTACCTACAATGAAAATTTAAAAGAAAAATCTAAGCCATTCGAGCATCGTATGTTCTAGCAAAATGGTATAAACAATTAACAAATCAACATGGATCAAAACAAACTACTTTGAAATTGCAGTTTGATTCAACCAACTGAAGGCGCTGCAAGATTGATTCCACTTTTTTTACTGGCTACATTGTAGTAACTTACCAGATCAAGAAGACGTCTTCTCGCTTCCATTTTTTCCCTCTCATGACTTTGAAAGTCATTATCAGAGTAATTAGTAGATATTGAGAGCAAATCGGTTGGGCTTTCACCAACCATCCATTCCATGGTCAACACTCTTTTCCGGGTTAGATGTTGATACACTTTTGGAACCCGGATATAGGAAAATCGTGAGTGAGCTTCCTTCAAGAAACAAGGTATTCTAGTCAGTCAAAAGAAATGAGATACTACTGTTAAACCAAAGATAAAGAGAAAAAAAATAGATACTAGCAAGAACCGGGAGCACATTTGTTATACAGCATATAGACTTTAATTGCACAACCTAGATAAGTCAGAGTTTAACGCATGGATAGATAACGAGCACATCATACTTAGTGGGGGAAAAAGCTACGTCTCTATCAGCAGAAAGCATTAACTTTGGTTCTTAGAGACACGTTCTATTGGACAGTTTTCTAGACAAAAAGAACAACTTAATGCCCAGTACCCGAAATTCAGTGGCATTGGCAGCCTCTAAAGTAAAGTCCAATTCTCCAGCCAAACCCTTTCCAAGCTCATCAGCATATACACGAATGTCACTTTCTCTCTTTGCTATCTTTCGCAATACACCCAACTGCAACAATAAAAGAAATTTCATTTAAATATGACATGATCCAAACAGATTAATTTGAGCATGCTTGATAGATTTCACACAAACCCCAAGTCGCAGAATGTAAATGTCGCGTAGCACTGCATGTCTCAGATCAGGACGCTGAACTTTCACAGCAACATCTAATCCATCGAGAGTTCTTCCTCGGTAGACCTAACAAGTAGCATGTCAAGTATTAGGCTACATGTTCATTCATATGATGCAATGATGCTTACTTCTTGCAAGATAGAAACCAGAGTAACTACCTGACCAAAGGATGCTGCTGCTACAGTTTCTTGAGAGAACTGGCTAAATAATGATTCAACAGGTGCCCCTAATTCCTCTTCAATGATTTTTGCAGCCTCCGGCCAGGGAAAGGGAGGGATTCTGTCATGCAGTTCAGATAGTGCCTGGAGTTCCAAATCATAACCCCGTGAATAACATATGAAAACCAACATAGTCAGGCAGCTACGTCACTAAGAGCAAGAAAATGTGGCATGCTGAATAGAGAAAGAACCATAGAAACCTGCACTAGCAAGACATGTCATGATTTTACTAACCCTAGGAAGTCATACAATTGACACTAGAAGCTAAGAGCGTAAGACACGCGCGAACATAACTTCTATCTGACCTTGGTGATTTCAGTCCCAATGATATCTGGCCTTGTGGAAAGGGATTGACCAACTGGACAAGCACAAAAGAGGGAAGCATCATTCACAACAGAGCAAAGTATCTAATATATCAAACACAAATGGTGACTGAAAGATAGATGGATACTTCAAAACACTATGTGAATCGCCAGACCTTTGATGAAAGTGGGGCCCAAATGTAGCATGGTTTCTTTCAACACCATCCCAAAATTCTGCCCTGAAGCTTCCAAACTTTTGCCCTTGTCTGATGTCCTTAATCTAATGGCAGCAATCATGAACGCAGAAAATACCTATACATTAGCATCGAATTAAAACCACATTCGCACTTTCTGTCTCTCAAAGAAATCAAGAATGCAAAAAGGAAGCTGATATATTTGTTTCCAACAAACAGAAAACGGTACAAACTATAGATGACTCATAAAGAGATCACCCAAAGTTCTAGATACTTATAAAATGATTCAGTGATTAGTAGCAGAATTAACCAAAAACTGTTAACAGATACCTCCAGGAGCCTAAAGGCAACAACATGTGGTCTGCAATTAAAGTAATCCGCAACAGCTTGTGGATCATAAACCTCAGGAAGTGGTCTTGACCACATCTTAGAAAGACAGTAAATGTAGCCAGCATATGCCTCCAAGGCTTTGACATCAGCCATGAACAAGTCCACCCCAGTGAGCCCTACCAAACGGTTCGAACTGCATCAGCAAATGATTACCACTAACAGTAAATAAAATATAAACTGCTACAGATGAGTAGGCTGATTACTTCAATGATGATAATGAGATTGTAAGCAGTTCTCAGAAAGAGAAAGTGAAGTTAAGCCTAAAGTATCCAAAGAGAGATGTAAAAGCCGATGCTTTCATACATTTGATTGTAGTTAGTAATATTCCGATTATAGTAAAATTCCCAAGGCGCTGTTTTTTAAGAGACCTATCACATTTGCTCTAATATATATGAATGCAAAAGACATTTCCGTTACTTAATTATCAGATCACTGGCAGTAATCGACTTCCTAAAGCCCTCAACTTTTTTATCATTTCAGCCATTGCAAGATATTTAAGAAGCTAATGTTGCTCTGTCTTAAAACGACATAACAAATTAAACGATCGTGATTAATTATCAAGCTATAAGTAGAAATCGAAACCTGAGTATGAAGGTTGAGGCCAAGATCGTGGCTCTAAAGGCGGAGAAGCGGGTTCCTCAAGATGCCGGAGCCAGAACAGTTCCTCGGCGGTTTTGGTCACTTCCGGGACACGGAAAGCCTCGTTCGCCCACCGGATTCCGATTCCGATTTTATTCTTCAGGAACTCAACGTCGTGGCGTACAACGTCGGCGACGTGGCCGAGACCGACGGAAACACGTGGTATAGCTCTTCTTTGTTTTAGTCGCCTCAATTCAGCAACGGCGAAGGTTGGGCGTGACGAGCGTCGAACTGGCGTACGTATGGTGGAACAAGACGGAGATGGCGACACCGACGCCATGTTGACCGGAGGTCAAACAAGTTAGTTAGGACTGAAATCGGAATTCGTGACTCATCAGAGGATTTGGAGCGGAGGAGAGTGAGTGTGGCTGAATAATTGCTTTTGGTTTTTTTTTTTTTTTTTTTCTTTCCTCGTTTTTGGTGGAGAGGAGTGAGCCAAGTGTGAGCTTCAAAGAGGCGTGATAAGGTTGGACTTATTAATGAACTCTTTAACTATTTCAGCCTACTACAGTTGGGTATATCATTGGGCCAAAGCCCAAGATCAAATATCTAATATATGTATATCGGACACAACTAGGGATAGTATCGAATTAGGATTATATATAGTTTGCACTTTGCAGGTAGTCAGGTACCATGAAAAAGATGTTTTGTACAAGATCAGGCTAGATCAAACAATTTCACACAAAAAGGTGTAAAACAATTAAAAAGTGATATGTAATGTAAGACATACAAAAATGGGGCAATAATAATTGATGTGCATATATATAAAAAGGAATTTCAATAAAATATATGTGAACCCACCACCTCTTTTTCATTATTAGAAGCATATACTAGTAAAACTATTAAAGACCATTTTAAACATTAAAGACCACAAGCCCATGCTAACCAAACCAAATCGTGGTACGTACGTACCTTGGTATGATTTATGTAAAGACATTCTCAAACATAACAAACCGAACATATAATTATTTTATCGCCCTTATTGAGAGAATTAATTTGTTTATCTAAGTTAAATATATATACTATTTTTTTATTGGAATGTTAAATTTATTATCAAAAACAAAACAAAATCATACTGTATATTTTAAATCGTTTAAAAAAAAATCAAATACAAAAAGGTTCACGGTCTGGTCTGCATTTTGCATGAAACAATGACTTCTACAGACTGCAAGGTGCAGTGTGTTTAGCCTACAAAACCTACGGTTCTTTTAATTCGTCCCGTGACGACCGGACACAACCCACATATGAATGAATTTAATTACTAAATATTCCTAATAATAGAGAATTTAATTTGTGTCTTAGTGATATATGAGAGATAAATTAAAAGAAGAATGTGTAACAACAACCTGTAATTCAATGACTAAATATATATATATAAAGTGGCTATATATATGTTTGATGAATGTATCATATCTGTTTAAATGAGTTGGAGTAAAAGACAGAGAAGACAGAATCTCCTTGGCCCACTTAACACAAGCCGATGTTCTCTCCCTCCCAAACAATGTGTTCTCTCTTCAAGCTTGCCCTAAATCTGGTGTGATCCTGTGCGATTTTCTTCTATTATTATCTCAACACTTGCTTTATTCTTTCTTTTTTTTTTCTTAATTTAATGCTCACATGCTATTACGTAGTTATCGTTGGAGCTTAATGTACATATTAATATGACTAGACACATAAACGGAGAATTGACATTGCTATATACTGATTAGTTAAATTCTAATTTGACCGTGACTAGTTGGAGTTTAATGAACATTTTAATATGATTAAGCACATAAACGGGGACATGCCATTGCACATGATTAATTAAATTCTAATTTGACCGTGAGCAGTTTGCCATGTAAATGATTTGGGGATATGGTGTAGATTCGCTCTCCGTAATTCGAGTTCTATCCAAAACTTTTGTACTTACCTTTGACTAGTTGAAATAGTATCATGTTCTAGGTATTAATGAACTTACTAATCCAACTACGTCCAGTACACTTTCCATCCACACGTTGTACGAGTATCTTCTTTAAGGCTTGCTCGACTCTGTGTAAATCATCATGCACACGTTGTAGATGACGACTATCTAGTGAGAGAGGTGGTATATATAGGCCTATACGAACTAAAGACTCTCAGAAGCAAGACCAATAGAGAGGTACTAATATTGAATGAAGAAAACTCATATATACTTTTATACATTTGTTGTTGTCAAATGATTGAGAAACAGTAGGGAAAATGTATTGCTAATGGGGGATGTTGACAAAAAGAAAAATGCTGTAAGGATATTTTAATAGATATCACTGGATTTAATACAATAAACGGCACTGTTTAAGCTAATATCACGTGGAGAAATGCATGTGCTTTTATGATTAAATGCAAAGTCAACTATTAACCCTTTTGACCGCACTCTAATTTGCACGACATCACCTTTTTCTAATAACTAAACTGCCTTGCCGTAAAAAAAAAATCTCTTGCTTATAAATTCTGTATCTAACACAAAAATGTATAAAGAATTTGATCATGTAATATAACAGGGACATGAAAATTGTATCGATTTACATAGAGTTGACGTATTATTTGTTGTGTTACGCAGCGAGTTGTTATTTTAAAATTAGTATGCCACATGCAATTATTACGTACTGTTTGATTTTGATGTAATCATTCCTTCTTTTTTTTTCAAATACTTCATATCAGTAATTTATTTTACATATTTAAATCCAAATATTTGATTTTTTTTAGGTGGTTAAAAACTTAAACTAGTGTTGTGGCCATATCATGATTTAAATTCAAATCTATGAATTGTATATATGCATGTGAATTTTACCCAAAAAAGTTTATATTTAATTATATTATTCGGGTTTCTGTATAACAACAAATTACGGTAAATGTCTCCGTACACAATTTTCAGTTATATTTAAAAAACCTAAAAAAATGATATTCTGTTTTGGTAAGTTCCATCTCCCTGACCAGTTTGTAACTTCACTGTGTCTCTCTCCAATGAACCTTCGCGCAGACATAAACAGCTCACTTCCATTATTATTTATATTTTTATATTTTTAAAAGACAAAACCAAGAACTGCATTCAATAACATGTCCACTCAATCACCTCTCAGATCGATTCTTCTTCTTCCACCTTCACAATTCAATCAGCTCACGAATTTCATCAAACCAAAACCCCGAAATGCCGCCAAATTTCCGCATCTTCATCTTCCTCTTCATCTCCATTTCACTTTTCATCACAGTTTCTGGGTATGGCTCGACGGGGACCATCGCCGCCGCTTTCGGCGAAAACGGCTTTTTCTGCGCCATCGACGCAAGCGGGAAGCAAGAAGTCATCTGCTGGGACAGAGGAAACACCAACCAATCATTAAACCACACTCCCAGAGAAACCTCCGGTTATTCTCCGCCGATGTCTTCTCTCTCCGGCGGTGAAGGTTTTCTCTGCGCCATAACGTCAAACACCTCGCGTGCCTTCTGCTGGAACCTCCAAGATCCTTCACAAAACCTCGTCCCAAGAGCTTTTCAGTATAATTCTTACTCGCAGATCGCTTCTGGTAACAATCATGTCTGTGCTATAAGTGGATTGTACTATTCAGGCCCCGAGTACGGTCCTGTTCATTGCTGGGAGTACAGCGACACCATAAATCTCACATCTAGTGTTCTCTGGAACTCGTCTTTTCACAATCCTTACATAGATAGTCTCATGTTTCGTAAGATCGTCTCTGGAGATGGATTCACTTGTGGTGTTACTAAAGATGGAGACTTGGTTTGCTGGGGACCGAAATCAAACCATTTGGGTATCTCCAACAACGAAGAAGAGCTCGAGGTTTTGGCTTCTGGGAGAAACTCTGTTTGTGGAGTCTCTAAATCTTCAGGCCAACTTCAATGCTTTGGAGACGAAACAGAGTTTGGCGAATTACCAAACCGGGCCCGGTTCATCGCTCTTTCAGCTGGCGCCAATCATTATTGCGGTATTCGAGAAGACGATCACGGGGTTGAGTGTTGGGGAAGAAACCTGAATTCGTCATCTTCAGCTCCCAACACTTCAGGTTTTGTGGCGATTTCGTCTTCTGATTCCACGACTTGTGGGGTTAGAGAGCTTGATTTGGTTCTTGATTGCTGGAGAGTTCATGATTCTTCTAAACCGGATTATAGTCCTCCTCTGGAGCTATGCAGCCCAGGGCTGTGTTCGCCTCGAGGTAATTGCGGCGATGGCTGGTTTGCTTTCAACGCAAGCATCTTGAAAGAGTCAGAGCTCACGAGCTTGTGCTCGTTTCATAACCTAAACATCTGCTTACGCTGCGGGATCGATTGCTTGGACGGCTATTTTCCTTCGAGCAGCTGCAATCCAAACGCGGACAGAGTCTGTACTCCTTGCTCGCTCTGTCAGAACAGTTCTTGCTACGGTATCTGTAACATTCGAGCTGCGAAATCGCGTGCACACGAGCAGAGAGAGGTACGGAGACTTGTGATCATCATAGGGTGCTCTGTTTTGGGGTTCTTGGTTATGTTGATCGGTTTGTCTTTCATCCCAAGGATGACGAAAGGTAGTAAGAGAGATGAAGAAGAGAGAAGTAGAATGACTTGTTGTTTCTGTTTCGACAAGAACTCAGTCGAAGCTGATCCTGATCCCGTACCTCAGTCTGCTCATCTCCCGAGCGCCGTCTCTCTCGGGGAGACCAAGATCTTCCGTCTCTCGGAGCTTAAAGACGCGACTCACGGGTTCAAAGAGTTCAACGAGCTTGGAAGAGGTAGCTTCGGGTTTGTCTACAAGGCTGTTTTGTCTGATGGGATACAAGTAGCGGTCAAAAGAGCCAATGCTGCGACCATCATCCACTCCAACAACAGAGGTTTCGAGTCCGAGCTAGAGATTCTTTGCAAGATCAGACACAACAATATAGTGAATCTGTTAGGTTACTGCGCGGAAATGGGTGAACGGCTTTTGGTTTACGAGTACATGCCGCACGGTACGCTCCATGATCATCTCCATGGAGATCTCTCTCAGTTGGATTGGAGCATGAGACTGAAGATCATGTTGCAGGCAGCAAGAGGGCTTGATTACTTACACAACGAAGTGGATCCTCCGATAATTCACAGAGACGTGAAAACGTCAAACATCTTGTTGGACGGAGAGATGTGCGCAAGAATCGCGGATTTCGGATTGGTAAGCTCGAACGAGAGAGATTCGAGCAAGAGTGATAGAGAAGGTGACGTGTACGACTTTGGTGTTGTTCTTCTTGAGATGCTAAGCGGGAGAAAAGCTAACGACAGAGAATCTGATCCTCCCGGGATCGTGGAATGGGCGGTTCCTTTGATCAGAAAAGGAAAAGCAGCGGCGATTATCGATAGGAACATTGGTTTGCCAAGAAACGTAGAGCCTCTGCTTAAACTGGCTGAACTAGCTGAGCTTGCGGTGAGGGAGAACCCCAACGAGAGACCAAGTATCAGAAATCTCCTGAGTTTTCT